GTGTGGGGCGGTTTGGCGAATATCGTAATTTCCAAGTTTTCTTTATATTTTTAGGTTTCTATGTTTTTTTTCTCATCGTTAGCAAAAGATAGTAAAAGATTGCATTAAAAATTGGCGTTTTCAAGAAAATTTACGAAAATGTATTTCTAATGTCTTAAATATTGAATTTTTTGATATTTTTAGAAAGTTAACGACTTGTTAAGTATTTTTGATAATAACAGTGACTCCGTTATCTTACTGTATTACCAGCTAACTTGATTTTTAATAACAATTTTCAGATGTTTTGCTCAGATGCATTTTCTGAGAAAAATTTAATTCCTGCAATTCAACTCTAGAACAACGATGGAAGTTTCTTTTCCTTATCTTAGCTTTAAAAAATATTTTCATTAAAAAAATCGCGTTCAAAAATAACACAAAATCATCATTTTCACGGACATGACTTGAAGATGAGCTCCCTCTTGCAAAAATCCCTTAATTATTTTTTCTGAAAAATTTTTCAATTCTAGTTAAAGGTCCAATCTAAAAGAAGAAAGAGTTCATAAAAATTTTCTAACCCATCTGAGCCTGAGGGCTGTTTGAAAGTGGTCGATTTCCCGAAAACCGCCCCACACCTCCTTAAATAGACTAAACCAATTTTTGGAAGTGAATTTTTGGATTATCAATAAGATTGCTGTATTTGGCCTACCGGCCAATCAAAACTCTTTTCATAAAAATTTGTTCCAAAAATTGGTTATTCAGTGGGTATGGTCAATTCAACAGATTTTTTTTCGCCAATATCGCTGAAATCCGAAAACAAAATGAGAAAAATAAAGCTGTAAATATCAGAGAGTAGGAGAAACTGCAATGCTGTTTCTACCTTTTGGGCAAGAATAAGCTTATAGAATCTCTACAACACAATACCCCGATTCTCACAAATTTTCTTATTTTCACCGAAATTTGTGGAATTGACCTAGGTGGAATTGACCTTACCCACTGTATCTATGGTGAGGCGATAAAATTGCGTGTAAGTTTCCTCTAGTAAAAGCTTCCCCAAACCCTAAGAAATTGAAGATATTTATATTTTGAGCAAGCAAAAATTATATTACGGATTTTTAAAACTTTTCTTCAAAAAAAAAAAATGATTTGAAAATTTCAAATTTTGGCACAAACCAAAATAAGTATATCTGGAGCTTGGACGGGGCAGTATGATACTTTATTATTCGGTCTTGAATGTATGATACTTTCTTGTTTGGTCCTCTGCTGTCCCGTCTAAGCTCTAGATATACTTATTTTGGTTTGCCCCCAAATTTAGCAATACGAGATCGCCCAAAACTCTAATTTTTGATAATTTTGTAAAAAAAAATATTTTTTAAACGCCGTAATTAAATTTTTGTGTCTTTGTTACAGCAAAAGAAATCAACTTGAACGATTTACGAGGGATAACTCCTCAGGAAATCCACACGCACAAATTTCTTTATCGCCTCACCGTAATTATGGGTTAGACCAATTTTTGGAAAATTTAATTTTGGAGAAATTAAGGGTACTATCTTCGATTTCCAGAAGGTGTCTTTTCAAAAGATGTATAAGAATCGGTTATTAGAAATGGATTCTTCATTAAATTCTATGATTATACCTAATTGACAACTATTCAAAATTATCAATATATCTTGAGATATGGCCTCTAGAAGTTTTTTCGAAAAAAAATTTTGAACTTCGATTTTCTCGATCAAGTGCTTATTCGAAAGCTCAGAGCAAGAGCAGTATGTTGGTAGCTGTATCCATCGCGACATCAAGATATTTTTGATTTTAGAGCCAAAAATGTGTCGCTAACTTTTAAAAAAAGCTCAATTTTCGCAAAATCGGCGAGACACAATTTTCAAAAAATTATTTTTGGTATTTTTAGTTTTTCAATGAAAATATCCTTCTGTAATTTTAAGGATTAATGTTCAAACTTTATTTAAAAAATAAAATAAGGCCAAGTTATCAGACTTGTTTTTGAGTTATTCAGCCGTTTATATAGGCCATTTTGGCGGAGATGACCACTTCCAGCAAAAATTTAGCCGCTTTTCGGTTAACCTTACGACGCCAAGTGTGTCATATATGACACCAAGAGTTTCAAACGCCCGTAACTCATTTGTAACATGGTCTGAGAATTTCGCTGACCCCCCTTTATGCCCCTACTTTTCGCTAAGCTTTCACGTGGTATCAACCTAATGGGCGCTGCTTCGCTACAAATGCTTGAGAATAGCGAATTTCGCTTCGCTACTAGTGTGTCGTATATGACACACGAATGCATTGAAAATGTGTCATATATGACACATTGTCGTCGGTAGGACTTTTTTCCGCCGGAGAAGAAATTGAATTTTTGGGTTGTGGTTCGGGTTTGGGTATCTGTCTGGGTCAAAGTTCCGTCCAAGATTCTGATTTGGGCTCGAGCTTGTATTTAGACTGGAGTTCGGCCTATAAAATGGCCTCTAGAAGGCGGTAGAGGCGATGTGTCATATACGACACATTGTCGTCGGTAGGATATATTCCGCCGGCAAAAGTACAAATTTTTTCGGGGATTTTGGTTCGAGTTCGGGTTAGAGTTGAGGCTTGAATTTTGTTCCAGAGTCTAATTTTGGTTCCAATGTGGCATAATGCCCTGCTTTGGCCTCTATAATCGCCTCTAGAGGGCAGTAAAGGCAATGTGTCATATACGACACATTGTCGTCGTAGGGGGAAATTCTCGTCTGTCGTCGTAAGGTTAAGCAATTGATAAACCCCTCTGTAATAGTTAAGATCTAGGACAGATCTAATCAATGAGCCCATATAAACTCAGCAATCATTCACAAGTTCCGAGTTATTCAAAGCTCAAGTTGGGGAAATCGAAGATAGTACCCTTAAGGTTGAAAATTTTCTATTGCAGATCGATTTCGCTCAAAGGAGCATCTTCGGTGCAAAGAGAACTAAAACAAGTGGAAAAATATCCAAAAGCAACTCCTTACCGTTAGGGTTTTTTTGGGAACGCGAGAGCCCAATTTTCGCTTCCCCGGCTACCCAAAATAATCATCAATTACTTTTTATTTTAACCCGTTTCCGAGCGCTCCGCTACATTGGCTTGCCGCTCGCGTAGCATCCGGAATGCTACGACTTTGAGCGCATTTTTCTCCCACTTTAACTTTGTCTTTTTTCATAATTTTTACTTGTGGGTGATAAGGTCTGACAAAACTGGAGGCGAACTTTTTAGTCGATCGAGGTTTTATTGAATTTGAATGTTTTTGGCAGGGCAAAAATCACTTATAAAGGGAGTCAGAGTCAGTCAGGTGTTTCAAAGTGGGGAAATAAGTCAGTTGTTTATGATTGCAATCGTCGATTCGTCACGTCGATAACTGTAATCGGGTCAGCGCACATTAAAATAGGACAGAATAAGGGGTTTTGTACAAGTCAGATCAAAATAAGTAAGAAATATGTAAAATATTACTCAAATTTTACAAAAGTCGAAATATCTTATATACGTGGCGAGCAAGTAAGAAATTTGTAAAACATTACTAAAATTTTACAAAAATCTCTTGGATGTCTATGTGGCGTTTAAGTAAGAGATTTGTAAAAAATTACTAAAATTTTACAAAAGTCGGAATAACTTACGTCTGTGGCGAATGAGTAAGAAATTTGTAAAATATTACTAAAATTTTACAAAAATCTCTATGAATGTCTAAGTGGCGCAAAAGTAAGAAATTTGTAAAAAATTACTAAAATTTTACAAGTGTCAAAATAATAACTGAGAGTGGCGAGTAAGTAAGAAATTTGTAAAAAATTACAAAAATTTTACAAAGTTGTCAGCTTGTGAGATTTTATATTTGCCGGTTCGCTCAGTCGTGTCAACGGTGACTTGTCGGCGGGTCTTCTAGATGGACGATTCGGATCGGCTTGACAGATGGTTTGCTCTCGAAAGTTGTGTAGCGACGTATGGCTGTTGAGTTGGTTTGCAGCACTTGAACTTGATGATGCATCCCGCGACGATTATGAGGAGAACGAGTGTAGAGAGTGTCGAAAGAAACCCAAGGATTGGCGCGAAGTAGTTATCGTATATCCAGTCTTTTGCGCTTTCAACTTCGGTCTTTGCAGTATCTTTCATCATTTGTAGAGTCGATTTGTGTCTGACATTGAAGTCGTCTTCCATTTTGTGTAGTTGTCGGAAAGAATCGTCTATCTTCTTGCCCATTGCATCGATTTCTTCGTCCTCTACGTTTCTTGGTCTTATCTGCATAGGTGCAATATAGTTGATTCGTGATGTTGCTTTTGCTAGTTGATGTCCCGCAGATATCTTGAGGATACGGGGACCGCAGTCGAGAGCACCAGCGAAGACTGTCTTGTAGAATGTGTCGATGGCCTCAACCTGTTTTGAAGGATGGTGATGAAAGAATTCCACGGTGGATGGGTGCCTGATGGAGACGAATGCGCGTTCGAAATCTTCGTAAAGGCCACACTTGAGATTGTCCATTTCGATCGTCTGGCAGAGCTTCGTATTGTTGTGAACGAGCACGCTTTCGCCGCATTGGTTCGGCTCCAAAATAGACGTCGCGCAGCTGTAACTTGGCGTGAAGTGAAGGCAATTTGACGGGTTCATCTCGAGAATCTCGTTTGAGGGCATCTTTACGAGGAATTGAGGGAGGTCAAGTCGCCATCGTGTGCCGTCAGCATTGAAAAATCCAAGATTAATTACTTGATACCTTTTTGCCACAAGTTTCATTCGAGGGATCGGAAGGCGGATGTTCACAATAACTTCCTTGATACGAAATTGCTCGGCGAAGGTCCCATTTTCTGTAGTGTAGGTTGTGAGTCCGAGGCCGTGGAAGCGTAAGTTGGTATCCCAGCGAGTGGTGTGGAAGGCAAACTCTGTGCAGAATCGTTTGGCAGCTTCCATTTCCACTGTCTGTAGGGCGATGCATTGCGCTTTCACGGAGTCCAGGAATTTGGAGAACAGCGGCAAGCGATGGTTGGTGAGCGTAAGAACGGCTTTTACCAGCTGTCTTCCATCATCACGTGACTGTTCAGCAAAGTATTGGTTGATAGACGAACCTTCTCCCTCAAGGATTTCCTTAATTGCCTCCTCGTCTGCAGGTATGTCGATTCCACCCCAGGTTATGATTGGTGCGTTTGAGCGGCGGATTTTCTTGACCGCAAGGTCGAGCTCATCTTTTACAAGTTCGACGACGTTCTCCAGCTGGGTTATTCTTTGACGTTCATGTTCAACTTCCTGGCGGATCTCCTCGTCTCGTCCCCTAGATGCTGAATCTACGTACCAGGTGTAGCCTCCTGTTGCAACAACTGCTACGCCCCCGATCGCGGCAGGATTTCTTCGTACTCGTCTCGCACGCTGCTGGCTAATCAATTTGTCGAATGTGCGGTTGTATCTCTCGGTAAACTGTAAATCGCTGCCGATGTAGCTGAGTACGATCTGGTCGAAGGTGTCGAAGGCTTTCGTGCAAAATTCGCTTTCTGTTGTAATTCTGCTGCTGTTGAGTCCAAAGAAGTTGTCAGGCTTTGGAAGAAGTCCGGTTGATTCATCTCCACAGTCAAGGTTCAATCCATCTCGAAATTTTTTCCGAGGGCTGTTGACCATGATAGCAATATCTCTGGGTATCTCTGAGTCGAAAACATAGATATCGTCAAGCTCTTTGAAGATGACGCCTGATTTTCGGTCGAAAATGTAGTCGGCGAAGGAAAAAGTAAGTAGGATTGCGAAATTTTTCATTTCTGATTTTTGTGATGAGTCGGCGGGTCTGTCGGGTATATATGCCGTCGAAGACGGGGCGCCATCAGCTGTTGATAAGAATCGGTAGGCCAAGTGTGAAACTCAACCAGGTCAGCTGATCGGATTTGATTGTCACGCTTTAGGCGGGGTGGTAGCTGTTGACATATTTTTCCAGTAGCGGTGTCGGGGTCGCGTTTGTAAGGCATATTTGAGTTGGTCTTCGTTTGAACTTTGAGAAAGGAGATCTCGAATACTTCTTCACAAAAAGTGAGCAGGATCTATGATAAGGTTCCCACTCGCCGTTGTTTTGAGAAATGGGAATTTTTCTTTTGCCTTTGCCGTGATTTCAATCGTTAATTCGCTTTTAGATTTTCCGTCAATCTCAACAGTCAGGCCCATATGTTTTGCAAGGACGCCCATTTCTACAATGGTGAAGGCACTGAGGTATGTTTTCTTTTCCAGCATCAACGCGTTGTGTTTTATTAGGTAAAACCCTTCGTCGTCCTTTTCCCAATCAGGGTGGTTCGCATTTATCCATTCATTTATCTTCTCTAGTTTTTTCGCCTTCGAATTTTTGAGTGAGGACCAAGCTCCTAGTTTTATTCCGCATTTGTAATCCCGGATGAATTTTTCTAGAGCTTTTTCGTGAAGGTTCGCTATTCTTTGGACGACAGGAGAGACGAGTTTACGTGGTGGCTGATGAGACTCGACATTTTCGGTTAAATCCGCAACCTCTGTCGAATCACTGTGGATGGACCTATTTTCCTGGCTTACTGCCTCTGATTCGGCATCATAGAAGACTGTCTCATTTGAAGGATCTGGCGTTGATGGGGGCTGTTGATTGTTTCCAAGGCTATTATCAGGGTTAGAGGAGTTTACGTAATCTGCTTTGGGCTGGTTTTCTGGGCTTGAGGATCGAGTTCCGCTTGAGCTTTGCAGTGTTGATGAAATGTCAGGTTGTTGCTGTTGTGTTCGTATGATGGTTTGGCTTCTCGTTTGGATACAGTAGGATGTTCTCTTGCGCGTGTCTCGTTGCGTTGCTTCTCCCATTGGATCTCTGGGGGCTGAATCTTCGGTTTCTGTAGCCTGTTGTCTTCGAACAAACGGTTTCAAATGCGATATATGTCGGCTTATTTCCCTGCCAGAATCCAGGTTCTCCAATAAAAAGCTAAGACCCTGTTTTTTGACTTTCGTTATCTTCATTGGCCCAGTCCATTTGTAGATCTTCTCGAGAGGATCCATGTTCTTGCATAAAACAAGGTCACCTTCTCTGAAGTCCTTGATTGCCTCATTGGATGAGCGTCGTTTCTCATGGTTCTCCGAAATCCTTTCATAGACTTCTTTAAAGCTGACTTCCTTTCGTTCTTCGTTGGGTCTAAACTTGTCATTGGCGTTTTGACCTCTGAATCCTGTCTCAATTTCGAATGGAGTCGCTTTGGTTACAGAATGTTTCGCCGAATTCATCTGATGAATGACATATGGAAGGTGAATGTCCCAGTTTTCCATTTTGCAGGCAAGCTTGAGTCTCGACTTGATTGTTCTATTGCGATTTTCACACTCTCCATTTGTTTGTGGGTGGTAGGCAGGAGATAGGGATACTTTGAGTCCTTTATCCTCACACCACTCTTTGACGTCTTTGAACTCGCCCCCATTATCCATAAGGATTTCTGTTGGGAGATGGGGGTTTCGTAGCCATTCGTGCTTGACTGCCTGCAATACTTCTTCAGGTTTTTTTGTTCGGAGAGCAGTTGCATTCGTCCTTTTGCTGAAGAGATCTGTGCTCACGCAAATGTAGCGCTTGTAGTTGTCCGTTAGCGGAAGAGGTCCAACTAAGTCAATCGAGTATCGTTGAAAAGGCTTTGTCGGTGGTTCAACATGGCCGAGCGGGGCATTTAGCGGATTGTTCACTGGTTTGATCAATTGACAGTCAAGGCACGACTTTATGTGATCTGTTACCATCATCTTCATATCTGGTCGGAAATACTTTGCTTCTATGCCGTCGAGGGTCTGTCCAATACCGGGATGCCCAGAATTATCGTGGTATTCACGTAGGATATCCGGAATGAGACTGATGGGAGGAATAACTCTGAAGCCGTTTTCATAGATTCCAAGGAGGCCATCTTCTCTGACAGCGATCTTTTCCCTGGCTCGCAGGAAGTTTTTGATCTCTCCAACGGGTAAATTCGGCCAGCGGTCAATCTGGTGGTAGTGGAGCAGTTCTCTGATGACTGGATCCCCTTGCTGTAGAAACAAGAGGTCTCGTGGCTTGAGAATGTTGATTGAAATTTCCTCGGACGCTATGTTATTCCTTGACAAGCAGTCAGAGACTTGCATTTCTTTCGAAGGCTTCATCACCGTCTTGAAGTCGAAATCGCTTATCTCTGCGAGCCATTTAGCTATTTTGAGCTTCCTGCTCATGACTCTGTGCGCCCAATTGACGACGGAATTGTCGGTATACCAAGTAAACTGTCTTCCCATAAGATAATGGGACCATTTTTCCATCGCCTTTTTACCAGCAAGGAGCTCCTTCTCGCTGATATTATAATTCTTCTGCGCCTCATCGAATTTCTGGGATAGATAAGCGACAGGCAGGAATTTAGTGTCGTTTGTTCGGCAATAAAGCAAGACAGCTCCTATTCCAGACTCACTGGCATCAGTCTCGATTGCAAAATGGCCTGAGTTCGGGTTTGGTATTTTTAAGGAATCGACGTAATCGCCAATTTCGTTTTTAAGCAAATCCAGAGCGTCATCGGCTTCTCTTGTCCATTTGAATCCTTTGCTCATCGCCTTGTTTATTGGTGCAGCTTTTGACGCAAAATGAGGGATGAAGGCGCGATGATAGTTGAGAAGTCCAAACACGCTTGAGGCTTCTTTCTTTGATGTTGGCCGTGTTAGTTCTCGGACTGCTCGCGTTTTATCTGGATTCGGGGAACGGAACCCGTCCTCAATAATTGCACCGCAGAATTTTATTTTCTTCTTGAGAAACTCTGTTTTCGCCGCCCGTATCTTCAGATTATTCTTCCTTAGGGCAATAAATACTTTTTCGATAACTCGAAGATTCTCCTCAAACGTTTTTGAATGAAGGCAGAGGTCGTCGAGGTAGATTGCGAGCTCGTTACTCGGAATATGCTGGAAGATTTTATCCATCATTCTCTGGAAGACAGCGGGAGCATTTTTTCCGCCCATTGGCATCGCCGACCATGTAAATTGCCCGAAATCTGTTGTAATTGCCACTTTCTGCTTCGTTTCTTCATCGCACGGTATTTGATGGAATCCCGTAAAGAGGTCTGCCGTCGAAAATACCTTTGAGTCTGCCATTTGATCAATAAGGCCATCGATATCTGGCAACGGGTATTGGTTCGCAATTGTGACTGCGTTAAGCTTACGGTAGTCACAAACCAGGCGCCATTTTCCGTTAGCTTTTTTCACGAGTAAGACTGGGGCGGCCCAAGGGCTTGAACAGGGCTCAAGAAGTCCGGACGAAAGATAAGCGTCGATGATTCGCCGCAGCTCGTTTCTTAGATAATAAGGCGTCTTGTACCGTTGTGAAGCTACTGGAGCAGCGTCCCCAGTATCGATCGTGTAGGACATCGCGTCTGTGGTTCCCAGTTGCTCGTCTTCCAAGGCAAATACATCGATGTATAGCATGATTAATTCCTCGAGTTTTCTTCTGATCGTCTGTGGGACGTCTCCTATACTCAACTCTTTCATGACTTCGTTGAATTTACCAAGTTTCGCAGGTTCCGGGACTCTTATTTCGACTTCTTTAATTTGGCAGATAGCTGTATTCTTGTTGATGTTGACTGGAAATGCCGATTTATTTGCGATGTGGATTCTTGTCTTATTTTGAAGATTACCAAGTTGGACGCATTGATCGTAGATTTCAATATTTTTATTGGTGGAGTTTTCTGGAATTGTACAGATATAACTTGTTGGAGAAGCTCTTAGGTCGATGTCGATAAAGGTAGATGAATGTGGCGTGATGGTGACAGGAACTGCTGCCACAGCTGTAGTTGAAAAGAAGTTTGTCTTTGATATAGCTTTGATTCCAATCGCAGAACTTTTGCAAATTTTGATTCTTTCTTCTATCAAGTCTTTGCGGATTACGCTCTTACGAAGGTCGATAAGGATTCCATTTTCGGTAAGCTCAGGTGTTCCGAGAATCGGGCTACAGTGATCGCCGACCACGTAAAAAATGCAATTTTCCAGGGAAATATTGCCGATTTGAAAGTTTGTTGAGATGCATCCGTAAACCTGAATCTCGGAGCCATTATAAGATTGAAGTTGTATTGGAGATGGGACGATAGATGACTGATGATGAGACGGGATAAGATTACGGGGTAAACACGACACTTGGGCACCAGTGTCGATCTGGAAACAAGTTTGCTGACCATAAATTGAGGCATTAGTGAGAAGTTTTGGGCCGACTCGGCTGACGATAGGCGAGACGGTAGCTTGGACCTTATGTGACGAATCATAAGATCCATTTCTTAGTTTTTTGGCATTCGTTTTGGGCAGATATCCTTGATGTGGCCTCGTTTGTTGCAAATGTGGCAAATGACGGTGCCTCTGCAGTTCTTCTTTGTGTGGCCCTTGACTCCGCAGCTGTAGCAGATCATCGGCGCTCCGTCCTGTCTTCTTTCAAATTGTCTTGGCTGTCGAAACGGCTCGATGTGTCTTTCTGATGTAAATTGAGCAGCTGTATCTATCGCCCTTTGTTGCTCGTAGGATTTCCTCTGGTCGGGCGCAGGTTGTTTTTGCCGAAGATTAGCTTGAACTTTGTTTACCTCGGTGAACTCTTGTCTAAGAGAGTTCATTTTGTCCTCCATCATTGAAGCAAGTGTTGACTGAAGAGATTCCATCAGAAATTCTCGAGTGGGAAGGGTAGAGAATTGATGAGTGAGAGCAGTGACTTGTTCCCGTAGCATCGTGTCGTCTGCTGAGACGGCTTTGACTTCGATCCGGCGTTTATGTTTCTTCATTTGGTCAAGGTATTTCGCGGTGTCACCGGTGTCGCATGATGACTTGCCTTGGTCCAAGAGATAGCGTCGTAGTTCGGGTGTCAAGTTCGCATTGAATGCTTCCTCCAGAAAATGTTTCTGTAGAACAGTGTTACCTTTGCTGGCGGTGGTGGCTAGCTTTTCAAGTCGAGTGTGAAACCTCGTAAATGTCTCTTCTTCTTCTAGTCGCCGACTGATTGTGTTCAACTTGCGTCGGGCCTCTTTAGCTTCTTCCTCAGTGTTCTCTACGCCGATGATCTGGTGAAGAAGGTCAAAAAGTCAGATGATCCCTTGATATCCACAACTTCGTCTTCGTAGCGTTCGCGGAAGGAGGAATCAAGATGAGAGAGGCAGATATTCCGGCGTGTTCGTTTGAACTCGGTGTCGAGGGCTGTCTTTTCGCTAGTGTTTTCTTTAATTTCGTGAAGTTTTAGGGATGTGTCAAAAATAAGTTTCATTCGCTCCATTTTTGCTCGAAGGTCGGTCTCTAAGATTTTTAGCTGTCTCTTTGTCGTCTTTGTCGTAATTTTTGTCTTAGGAAGTGTGTTGTCTTCGAATGCTTCGAGAAGTTCGATTGGGTGTCTCAATGTGGTCGCCATGATAAGGTCTGACAAAACTGGAGGCGAACTTTTAGTCGATCGAGGTTTTATTGAATTTGAATGTTTTTGGCAGGGCAAAAATCACTTATAAAGGGAGTCAGAGTCAGTCAGGTGTTTCAAAGTGGGGAAATAAGTCAGTTGTTTATGATTGCAATCGTCGATTCGTCACGTCGATAACTGTAATCGGGTCAGCGCACATTAAAATAGGACAGAATAAGGGGTTTTGTACAAGTCAGATCAAAATAAGTAAGAAATATGTAAAATATTACTCAAATTTTACAAAAGTCGAAATATCTTATATACGTGGCGAGCAAGTAAGAAATTTGTAAAACATTACTAAAATTTTACAAAAATCTCTTGGATGTCTATGTGGCGTTTAAGTAAGAGATTTGTAAAAATTACTAAAATTTTACAAAAGTCGGAATAACTTACGTCTGTGGCGAATGAGTAAGAAATTTGTAAAATATTACTAAAATTTTACAAAAATCTCTATGAATGTCTAAGTGGCGCAAAAGTAAGAAATTTGTAAAAAATTACTAAAATTTTACAAGTGTCAAAATAATAACTGAGAGTGGCGAGTAAGTAAGAAATTTGTAAAAATTACAAAAATTTTACAAAGTTGTCAGCTTGTGAGATTTTATATTTGCCGGTTCGCTCAGTCGTGTCAGTGGGTATTTACTTAACCCTCTGCTACTAGATTCATACTTTTTCACAAAGTTTCCGAAAAGTTAGAAGACCGAAAATCAAGAAAGAATGACGGTTCTTTCGGCGGCGCCATTGTTCAAGTCTAGAGAAAAAGACAATGGCGCGCCGCAAAACAATAGAAAAGAAGCGCAGCGAGGGCTGACTTCACTTTTTCTTTCCCATTTTCTAGCGGCAAATAACAACATTTTTATAATTTTAAAGCCGAAGATCTATTTAAAAAAGGTTGAAATTTTATAAAATCAAAAAATTTTTGAGAATTTTCAATGTTAAGTTTTCCTTAAAAGCATTGAAAGCGCGCGTAGCATTCAGGATGCTACGCGCTCGGCAACGGGTTAAAGAGGTTATATGTTTTCTCAAATCCCTCCAAAATTAAAGTTTCCGAAAATTGGTTTAGTCGTAAATAAAATCCTTTCCGAAATTAAGCTCGATCGCAAAAGCGAAATCGAAAACGTAGTTTTGAATAAAAATTCTTTCATCAAAGACGAATCCATTTCCAAAATACTCACACTCATCATTAATAAGTCCATCTGTATTTGTATATGAAGGATCATCAGAAGCAAATAATTGTGAATAACAGAGAGATCTGCCCTCATATTTAACAAGAGAACCGATCCATTCACTTCCAACAGTCAAAAATTTCCCATCCGCTTCCAGTAAAATTGAATACATGGTGTTCGAAAGAGCAATGCTTCTGGAAACGAGAATCAGCATCAGTCGTCCAACATCTATCTTTCGTCGAGTTACAATTAGGGCCGACGCGTAAAAATCAACCCCTAGAAAGCATCAACGCAGAGAGCTGAAACTTCGGGACATTATGTAGTTCGACCCAACTAAAATTGCTTTTGAAAATTTTTGGTCAGGTCACGTGGTCACGTGATACAGGCCTCCGAAAAGCTAGAAAAGCTTGACGACCTTGAACGCCTGGTCAACGTCGATCAGCTCATACCTCAGAAGAAAGAGTTCAAAAATTATTTTTAATGAGCAAATAATATTTTTGGTGGTGCAATCACGTGAGGCAGAAGAGCTCGTTCAAACGTCCAAAGCGGCTGTTCTCAATGAACCCATGAAAGCTTGATTTTTCCATATTTTTACCAATTTTTTGGGGCTTTTGTACCTTCTATCGCCTCACGTGATTGCGCCACCAAAAATATTATTTACCCTATAAGAATTACTTTTTGAGCTCTTTCTTCTGAGGTATGAGCTGATCGACGTTGACCAGGCGTTCAAGGTCGTCAAGCTTTTGCTTTTCGGAGGCCTGTATCATGTGACCACGTGACCAGACCAAAAAATTTTCAATAGCAATTTTAGTTGGGTCGAACTACATAATGTCCCGAAGTTTCAGCTCTCTACGTTGATGCTTTCTTGTATTGTAACTTATAATTAAAACTTTAAATTTAAAGCCTTCTTTATCAATTATATAACTCGTTCCAGTGGGATGACGTGAACTGGGTCCAAGTCTCTGAGCTCTGCCGGCAGTGCAAAGTCTCCTTTTTCCAGCCTTTTTCCAATTCTTCGTTCTTCCTTATTCGATTAAGAGCAACTGCTGTCGAAAGCTTGATCCACTTTTCGCCCATTCGAACACTCATTAGATAGAAAACTCCATTGAAGCTGATCGAAGATACTTTTGCGTTGAAGTGATTGCTTGCAATGTAACCCTGTGCTTCTTCGAAGCGGTTCAAATTGTAATTGAGGGCGTAGTAGAAGCATTTATCGGATTTTCCAGTTGGAGAGCTTTTTGGTGGTCGAAAACGATATAAAATCGTCGATAAGTCAAGTCTTGATTTTTAAGATATTTTGACCATTTTCAGATGACGATGACGGGAAAAGTCTTTCTGTCTTTGTCTTTCAGGCGAATTTCAATGAAATGAGTTCCGATCGATGATCCGAAATGAAACACGAAGAGGCCTCTTAACATAAAAGTACTTGACAAGTCTGAATAAGGGTACTATTTACATGAATTTGAGTCGATTCGGAATATTAATCGGAGCATCGCCGTTTTCTCTTATTCTCATCAAATTTCCGATTGCATCGACCAAGTAATGCTCGCCATTCAGAAAAGTGGCGCCGGTTGACTCTTGCGATTTGAATTAATTATTTTTTAAATTTGGATTTATATTATGTATCAATGAGAAATCAAAAAAAAATTATCACAGATAAGTTATCAACAAACCCGTTCATAAGAAAACAAAAAGCCGTTAGCATTTATATTCTTTGCTCCGGTTTTGCGATTAAAATCGGCCAAAAGAATCGGAAAACTTTCTTTTTCAATCTGTCGGCCTATCCAACGACCAGTTATCAGCTCAATATTCCCGTTTACTTCTTGAGAAATAATCGTTGACGCAGTTGACGTTGATGAAGTGGAACTTTGGGAAGTCGATGTTGAAAAAGTTGAGGTCGACAAAGAAGAAGTTGGGAGTTCAGATGTAGACAATGTTTTCGGTGACTCAGTCGGCCATATATTCCCGTTTGATTCCTGGGGAATAATCGTTGACGCAGTCGACGTTGCTGAAGTTGGATTTTCAGAAGTCGATGTTGAAAAAGTTGAGGTCGACAATGTGTATGGCGCTGAGGTTATGCATGCATAACCAGGTTATGCACTCTTAATAAAAATCATATTAATTGATATGTAACAGATAGTTCAAGTGCGCTTCGCGCCTGATCTTAGAGAAAAATCGTTTTTAAGTCTTTTGGAACCAATCTAGCCTCAAATTGCTCCAATTTAAATCGAGAATGCATAACCAGGTTATGCAAAATCCAGGAAAATGCATAACCTGGTTATGCCATAACCTCAGCGCCCGACACCCGGTCGACAAAGAAGAAGTTGGAAGTTCAGACGTTGTCAATGTAGTCGGTGATCTAGTTGGCCACACACTATCTTCCAGTTTTTGCAAATCAAAAACCGGAATCAATTTTTGACGCGACTCAAACTTCTCACATTCATAAAAAGGGCAAGGGCAGCCATTTTTACAGTACTTTTGAGTTGGGCACACGTCGCCGGCGGAATCAGAAGACCGAGTTAGTTCAAAGCAAATCGATTCACAGGGCGAAATAGGGTTTGTCCTTGTTGATCGCAAAACGAGATTTTCTGAGCAAAGATGACGGCAGATTTTTTGATCGTAAAAACGCTTCTTCTGACAGCGGATTAGATTCACAACGTTTTCGTCTTTTGAAAAACAAGAGGCTCGGATTTAGGCTGCTCGATTTGGGAAACGGGCTCTGGAAGAATGAATTCTTCAGTTTCATGACATTGTTTCATCAAATGGCCGCAATAATCCATTTCAGCAATTTTGACGCATTTTTTGTAGTTTCGGTGGCACGTCGAAGTCAGAAAAGTAGATACTCCTCGTGACCTTTGAAGCGAGTACCAGTTCGCTGAAACATGTTAATAAAGAAGAAGGAAAGCAAAACGCACTGATGAGGATGATGGTTATCCAGAAGATCGAGCCGGTTCCAAGATAGAATCGCTGCTGCGGAGGCGTAGCGAAACCATGTTCTTCGGGAGACAATTTTGTTTTGATCGATTTCATCTTTGGTGGTTTCTTTGAGAGGTTATCTGAGTGTATACTGTTTTATATAGTTTTTTAGATAGATTGGCTCTAAAATAGACAACCAATCCTTCAAGTCTCGTTTTCGCGTGTGAATGCTTCTCGTCGATAAAACACTTTCCGGGGACAAGTAGACAAAATCACCTTTTTGCTTGAGAATGCCAATACAGTGACAGTCCAAACACTTTAAGTGTTTAATAAACAAAAAACATATTTCATAGTTTGTTTCTCTCTCACCTGAATTCTAGGTTGCTCCATCTCAGTTGACTTGGCCTCTATTTCATCCTCAATAACCATATCGACTGTTCTCTAAAAGAGAAAAGAGCAAGTGTGAAAAAAGAAGTTCTGACAGAAAAAAACTCGTTTATGAGAAGAATCGGTACGCCTGCTTGTCTGACACTTGGACAGCTTGTCTCCGCATTGTTACCGGTTTCTTCGCCTCACCTTTCCCATCGCTGATTTTTGAGAAGCTTGTTGTACTCATCGACAAGGAGTACTCATCGACGTAACCGCGGCCCAGTTAAAATATTTGAATCTACGGAATCGGAAAAATCATCGAAATCGTCCGATTTCGTCCAAATCCAGCGGGTGACAAAAATGGCCGGACCAAAAATCGACGAGAGTATTTTTTACTTGTTCATTGATTGTTGTTGATTTTATTGAAATTATCAAATTTCGATCAAGGAACTTCAGTTAACATATCAGGAATATCATAAACGCCCTCATTTATGTCATGAAGGAAATTCAGCAGCAGAATATGAAAAAGCTTCGGATTGTCGAACATCGGCACTCTTTCTCGATCCTCAACTTGGGAAGGGAAAACTTCGAGCTTTGTATTCGGCATTTTTAATCTTTTCCTGGCTTTTCAAAATTGATTCTGAGGGTCGAAGAGCATTGTTATTGAAAGCCATTCATATCACGATCATAAAGTCTTCTTCCAGCACCATCGCTGGCCCTGACAATGGTCAGGTTTGGAATCAGCATTTGCACGTAATTTTCTTTCGGAAAGGCATGAGTAGACATTGGCGCCAAACTTATCCATCCTCGAATTTTGTCGTCTGAAGCATGCTTATGAATCCAGCCGATTGCGTATCGATGCGTCACGGAAGCAGTCAAAATAACAGGTCTTTTAGAAAGATTTTTAACAGAGAAAATGTCTGGTAGACAGTCTCTTAGACAGGCCAAGCTGGGCAGATCAAAACTTCAAGAATCCTTCCTGTCAAGCTTGAGTTTCTTCATCATCTCATCAAAGAACGCAATATTTACATCAGCTTTTTCATCATCCGGCAAAGACTCTACTCCTTCCTTCAGCCCGGTTGCCACCAGCAGAGTTCGAAATTTTTGCGGCTCCCGGGCAAGGGGGCGGCGGGCGGGCGGGCACGGGCAGAATATTTAAGATTCCCGGGGGCAAAAACGGTCACGGGCACAAAAACGAATTTTCCCGCGAGCCAAGCGGGCACGGGCACTATAACAAATTTTCCCGCGGGCAGATACGGGCACGGGCATGAATGAGAAGATTCCCGCGGGCATAAACGGGCACGGGCGGTTTGCCCGCGTTCCCGCACGAAATATTCCCGAGGGCAGCCCGGGGGAACATTTTTTTCTACTGCTAAATCTCAAGCCTATTTTTCAAAATAAGAAAATAAAATAAAAACGACCCTGAATCAATTCGGATTTTTAAATCGCAAGTTTTAGGAGCTAGTTAGAAACTACGACCGAATGGTCTCCGTTTCCCCAACTTTGGGAAACGGCGACTTGGGCAAACGGCGATGTGAATTAGTTTAAATTGATTGATCATATAACTTTTATTGTCTTCTTCACAGTCAATCCCGGCTTCACTTATTTCAATCCCGGCTTCAAAAACTTCGATCCTAGCTTTTCAGACGTCAATCTTGGTGGCTCAAACTTGAATCCTGGCATCTCCAGCGTCAATCCCGGCTTCTTCAATGCTGATCCGGGCGTCACTTACTTCAATCCAAGCTTCTCAAACGTCACTCCCGGCTTCTCAGTTGTCAATCATCGCTTCTCGAATGTCGATCATGGCTTCTTCAAGATAAAATTGGCGTTGAAAAAGCCGAGATGGAGATGGATGAAGCCGGGATCGACGTTGGAGAAGTCGGGATCGACGATGGAGAAATCGGGATTGACGTCGAAGAACCCGGGATGGACATTGGAGAAGCCATATTTGAAGTCGGTGAAGCGAGAATTGCCAATTATGAATTGGCGATGGAGAAGCCATAATTGATATAGTGTCGATGATATTGGAGAAAACATGATTGATGTTGGTGAAGCCAGGATTGGCGTTGAGGAAGCCAGGATTGACATTAAAAAAGCCAAATAATGTCTAATGATCAATTAAATTAATTAATTAAATATAAACTTTTTTCAGATCGCCGTTTGCCCAAGATCTCCGTTTCTCCAAGTTGGGCAAACCAATATAGACCCTCGAACACCACATTTTTTTAGAATCAGCAGTAAATTTCAAAAACTTTGACGGTTTAAAATTCTAGAGAACTCCACTTCCGATCGATTTGTAAAGGTACATAATGTTCGGGGGCCTATAAGGCGGAAATGGGGTGGAAAACTTCGTTACCCTTAAAAAAAGCACGTCATAACAGTTCTGTATGCAGATTAGTTTTCAATATACTCCCTCAAGTATTTGGTGTCTATTTCCACGCTATTTAAAGAGTTTAAACACTTTTTCATAAGGGGCATTGAATCTGCCCGTGCCCGTTTAAGCTCGCGGGAATCTTGCCCGTGCCCGAATTTGCCCGCGGGAATATTTTTTATTGTGCCCGTGCCCGCTTGGCCCGCGGGAAAATTCGTTTTTTTGCCCGTGACCGCTTTTGCCCTCGGGAATTTTCACTTTTTTGCCCGTGCCCGTATCTTCCCCCGGGCAAACGCGGGATTTCGAACTCTGGCCACCAGACCTGGCATATTCACAGCAACGGGGTCGAAACCAAACTCAACTGAAAAGCGAATGAAAAGAAACAAGAAAATCCCGGACATGCCTAGTTTCTGCATTGTTCCCATCCACTCCCATGTTTCAGACGCCCAGTCCGGCCCATGGAGAAGAATTATTGGAACGGGATGTCGTTTCTGCTCCTAGAATCGCTTAAAATCAATATCTACTCATTACTTGCGCTCTAGAACCTGTGTAGAAGGCCTGAGTCAGGATTTGAAAGATCTCTCATGAAAAGCCGCGTAGCGGCTTTCATAAAAGATATTTTAGACCCTGACTCAGGTTCTCGACACAGGTCGCTGAACCAAGCCCTTCTGCTTACATAAAAATCAGGATCAGTTGAAACCGCCCTTCTGTAGGTAATGTTGAAACCTTGAAGATCAATGAACTTTGTCTCTACTTTGACGGGGTCGTAGTTGCCGTAGACTTTCTTCCTGAAAGGAGAGGTGAGTAAGCTATAGAAATAAAGCATCAACTGGGGGTATTTCTTCGCATCAGAAGGGACAGCGGCGGTGAATTCGTGGTAGGTTGCGCCTTTTTGAGTCGATTTTGATGATTTTGGACTGTTTTTCCGTGATTTGAAAATAAGAAAATTCAAGAAAATCTGTCGAATGTAAAATTTGAAGTTAGTTTTTTCTCGGTTTTTTAATCACAATCCTAAAAACGCATAAAACAACAATGATCGAAATAAAAAGAAAGGGAAGAATAAAATTTTTCATTTTTTCTTTATTTTGAAAAGAAAGAAAACCGCGCTCCGAGCAAACGGTCCGGATTAGTGAAGGGTTTTGAATTACCCCGGCGATTTTACTAGCCCCAGAATGACTTTTCAAACGATTTGAGCGAAAAAATTCTTAGCCAAATAGAAAAACTGAGATTTGGAGTCCCGGGATAGGAACTGCCTCGCGATGATATTTACTCGCAGTTCTGATAAACATCCGCACACAAATAGAGCCAGAATTTACGCATCGAATCTGTTCGTTCCGAAAATTGAATAATTAGAGGCTCCTTGAAAAAATGTTGTTCCGAGACAGTTCTTCTGATATTTCACTTTGGTAAGAAAATTGAAGGAAAAAGGTTGAATTGAGCTCGGAAACCTGTGTAAAAAACCTGAATCAGGGTCTTAAAATGCCGATGATTGTAATTTAAACATTTGCGAAGCCTGAAAACCCTGACTCAGGTTTTCTCCACAGGTTTCAAAGCTAAGAAATCGAGAAGACCCACTTTGGAAGAAGTTCTTTTTTTCATTCAAATTCAAAAACAAAAATTTTAGCTTGAAAGGTGACGACACAGATGCTTGCTTTTGGATCATCAACATCACGCTGCCAAGTAAATACTCTCCAAAAAGGCTTGCCCTTTACTCTTTTCCCCCTTTTTAGTCCTTTACTCGCTAATCTGCGCCTTCGCCGTCGGAAAGACTTTCCGCGACAAGCGCGCTCTCGACAAACTTCAGATGGCAGAAGCAATGGGCGGCAATGAAGAAGCTGCCGCTGAAAATCCAGCTTTTGATGACATCGAAAAATCAGCTGAGAAAAGAGCTGAAATTGAAAATCATGATGATACTGAATTTTAGCTTGAATTTTATTTAAAATAAAGAGCAATCTATAAAATCACATTTTTATTTGCATCTATTTTTTTTCGGGAGAAGACAGTTTTTACAAAGTAACAACTTTTCCTTTCGAATAGGTTCTTGTTTTGAAGCAATGTCGAGTTTTTACTTCCTTGCTATCTTCGATTGACCCAGCTGATTCGAAGCCAGCATCTTTAAAAAAGCCAATGAGAAGCTGTAATACAGTAAAATAAAGTAACCTAAAGTCAAAGACCAAAGAGACCCCCATCTTTTTTCCATCCCGCTTTTTCGGTCGTCAAGGAGTTCACTCTTGGCTCTTTTTTGCACATGAGCCTCCTTTTTGCCATCTTGTGTGGCATTTTGCTCATTCAGGATTTCTTCTTTTTCAGGGGAAAAGATTTTTTTCTCAAGCTCAGCTCTCAAAAGCTTATTTTTTCTTCAAAAAATCGAATTTTTTCGCTTACAAACCTCATTTTGCTCCTCAATTTGATGAAAATTCAGTTTCAAATTTTCAACCAGGTCTTCCAAGTCGTCGATTCTCTTCTCCAATTTTGCTGATTTTCTCTCTGCTTCAACCCTTTTTCCTTCCGAGATTTTTAAGTCTTCGACAAGCTCAGAAACTTGCTCATTGATGATTTCCCTTAGCTCATTTTTCGACACTTACAAAAATAAAATGAATTTTCTCGTATTTTGCCTACCTGTCGATTCATAGCCAGATGATCTTGTTGAGACGGAAATTTCAGAAAAAGAGATTTTCGACAAGCTTGACAATTTTGACTGAAGACTTGGGTGATACGGCATCTCTTATTTTGTTGGAAAAGGTTTTTTTGAAAGTAGCTAGCTTGGGAACCGCGAAATGCGCATAATCATCATCTTGACCTTTTTGAATCCAGAAGAAAAGGAGATTTTTATGAGCTACTTATGGCGGACCTCTTGTTACGAGCTGATGAGTAGATTCTCCTTTTCATTTTTTGCTGCTTAATTTCGTCCATGACATAATTGAGAGTGTTTATGATATTCCCCATTTGCTCAATGAACATCCCCGAAGAAGATAAATGAAATCAATTTGTCGATCTCCGAAATTTTCGTCACTGGATGGTGTCCCCTAGCATCATTGCTTTGATGTTATCTTCGTTGCTTCAATAATAGCCTCTCTTGTTGATGATTATCATTTTCAAAGCAGGGGCTCTCCAGATGCACTTCCACATGAAAATATACATCTGCCATGAGATATTTAATGCATCCTTTTTCAACCAATAATCAAAAATCCAAATAATGCCAAAACAACCAACAATACAAAAAGCACCAGCCCAGCCCTATCCAACTGGAGGTCGGTCAATTCGCGCTCCTGAATTTCAACACCGCGGCATCAAATCGACCTCCACCAACTTTACGCCTCAACCAGCTTTCTCTTCAACCCCAACTCGAGTTCGAAAGCGAGAGTTGCGCCCTGCGCCTTATGTTCCAATGTATGGCCAGGCGCTCCCAGATGACTATTTCTTCCCCAAGACTTATACTCCCTCAACCTACAGCTTGACGCAAGTGGAGGATTTCAACGACGCAGTTGACGAAGAAGAGGAGGAAAACGAGCAAACTTGCGGGATGGTGAAAATCTGGATGATGGAAAAAATCGACAAGCAAGACAAAACCATCGAATCGCTGCGAAATCAGCTGGAAGAAGCGAAAGAAGAACTGACCAAACTCAAAGAAAACACAAAAGACTGCATCTGTACTCTTCCTTGATTGCGATAAATAAACTTTTCAAAATTGGATGCTTGTCAGAAATTAATGATAAATTGTTTTATTTGAATATGCTGAATTCAGCTAGAAGCAGGGCAGAAAAGAGAGTCGAAGTAATTTTTTATTGCTCGAGAGTTTTCTCGAAAAGATGGAGGAATTCGTCGGCGTGGCTTTTGTCAAAAGTCAGGGATGGTCTCAGCCGAATCGATTGATTTCCACATCCTCCAAGCAACAAACCCTCTTTCATCGCATCTCCAACGACTTTGTCTCTCGCCGCCATTGTCGGATGATCCCAAGCCACAAGCGTTCCCCGTCCACGCACATTTGCAATATCTCCATATTTCTCCGAAAGCGCTAGAATTTCGCTCTTGACGTAGTCCCCAACATCGGCGGCTTTGGCGGTCAGGTCTTCAGCTTCGTTGACGTTTAAAACCGAATCAAGGATGACCAATCGCGCCGGGTCGCCAACAAAAGTGTTGAAAATCGTCGGCCCCCAGTTGCTGTTCAAGCTCTTTCTGTAGTAAAAGCCCGCTGCTTGCATTTTCTTGGCAAAAGTGACCACATCCGGGGGTGTTTCGAGGCCCCAGTGTTCGTGCGCCCACCATTTTCCGCTCACTCCGGCGCCGGTTTGGACTTCGTCGACGATGAAATACACCTAGAAAGTGGCTCATTTGCGAATGAAATTTGTCGTCACTTACATTTTCTTCCAAGCAAATGTTCCTCAGCCGCCTGTAAAATGAATCTGAAGCCGTTCTATCGCCTCCTTCCGCTTGAATCGGCTCAATAATCATTCCCGCGACAGGTTTTCCCGCCTTTGCTCGCTCCTTGATCACGTGTCTAACCTGCTCCAAGCAGCGGCTTTCTTCTGCTTCGTTTTCAGCCGCGTGCTGGTCGAGAGGATAGCGCAGTTGGGGATGATCGACGATCGGAAAGTCCAAAAGTGGAATATCGACCTAAATCGAATGGAAAAAAGTGAGTCGTTGTTGTTTTCAAAACCTTGATTCTGCCCCTCGTATTCGTGCAGGAGGCGCAGCCAAAGGTTCGCCCGTGGAAAGCGCCGGTAAATGACATTATTGACAGCTTATTGCCCTCTCCTTCGAAATAAACATGCTGGAAAATCGATCAGATTGAGATAGATCTTTACCTTTGTTGAAATTAGCAGCGTTGCACTCGGCATCGCTGACTTCGTCTGTTCCTCGCTCTCGATTCATCCAAGCCTGGAATTTTTGATTAAAAATGATTGAAAAAAGGGAAAAATTTGGGAAAAATTGAAAAGTCGCGCAGCGGCTTTTTTAAAAACGAAGCCGCGAAGCGGCTTCGCCTTAAATTATGGCCCATAATCACCATTTAAATCTCTTTAAGTTTTATTCCCGGAATTTAGAATTCCTGACTCAGGTTTTATCATTTGAATCAATTTTCAAATTCTTGCAAAGCCGCTTCGCGGCGTCGATTTGAAAAAAGCCGCTGCGCGGCTTTCCTTTAGAGGTTCCTTAGACCATGACTCAGGCTTTTTACACAGGTTCCTGAGCTCAGGCCCTGAGTCAGATTTGAACACAGTTTGCTGAGAAGAGAAAAACTACCTTGAAAACAGTCTTGAAAGCATTTTCATTCGAGCAAGATCCGCACATCATCGTCGTAACTCCATCCATTCCAGGTGGAGCACAGCGCATAAGAGTTTGCTCCAACTGCTGTGGGAATTTTCTGAAAAGCGTTATCAAAAAATCTGTCGGAAAAAACTTACGAGTGAGGAAAATAGCCCATGGCCGGCCGATTCGCCATGAAATTCTTCATTTCGTTCGATTCGCACGCTGCCAGGACTGCTGGATGGTTGTAGCCAAGAGTCGCCGAGGAGATTTGCGAGAAGGCGTCGAGGAAGACGTTACCGTCGACGTCGGCGATGTAGTTGCCGAGGGAGTTCTCGATGTCGAAGAAAATTCGCATCGTCGCCGCCATGTGAGGCGAGAGTCGAGCGTACTCTTCTTTTTGGGCGATGCCGATGGGGCCGGGAACGGTAGCGCTTCGAACTGCTGCTTGCCAGCCTTCATCAACGCGTGTGCCTAATGGTCAAGTTATGGAACAGACTTTAATTTGGTTCAAATTTGGTCGAGAATCGCGAATTTGGGTTTATTTGGTCTTTTTTTCATCAGAAAACTTCATAAAAAAATTTTAAAATTAATTAAATCATGAAAAATATGCTTGAATTACCGTAATTTCTTAAAACGAACAATTTTCGAAAGTGTCTCATTTCGAAAAAACAAAAAACTAAACTGACGATTTTTCACCAAAACAATTCTCTTCGGCGAGTGTTCTCGAAAGATTCTCGACTGCAAATTAACTTCAGTAATCGATATCTACTGACACTCAGCGAGAAAGGAATTGCTGATGGACACGGCTCTTTTTGGAGCTTTTATTGAATGAGGAAATTATTTATCTTGGCCTAAAAATCGATGCCTTCCCGGCGATTAGTTTATTGACCATTCTTCAGAAAAAAAAAAGCTGAAAACATAGTAAAAATAAAAATTCAACCAAAAATAACCGAGATCGTAAAATCTGTTTTTTTTTGTTTCTATTGACCTAGATACCACAAGACCAGGGCTCGGAATCCTGTGTTGAAAACCTGAGTCAGGGTCTGAAAGAACTTTTTATTAAAGAGCTTTGAGTTCCTGACTCAGGTTTTCTACACAGGATGAGAGAATTTTTAATTGATCAATTTTCGGTAAAAAATTTTCGTAAATTGCTTGAGTCCGAAGTTCAAAAGTCAAAATTCACTTTAATAATCAAATATTTTCTGTCATTATTTATCATCAGAATGGCATGATCCATAGTTAAACCTACCCTTTAGCTTCGTAAGCTGTTTTAAAATCGAAGATCTCTTCATTATTTTTGAAATAAAAAATCAAGAAAAAAAGCCTTTTTGAAAAAGAAAGAATGAATGATCAACTGCTGCTACGAAGGCTAAAGAATATTCCAGCCGTAAATGAAGTTACCTTGTTTGGACTCAAGAAAACCGGATCGAGGAAACGAACGTCCCGGAGCAATTCTGTACTAGAGCGATTGGCTCGAAGGCCAACGCCCACTTTTGGCGTAACAACATGTGACCTCCAAATTAGGCAAGCAGCGAGCTGGCTGGGGAGCTCTCGCTGGATTGGGGCCAATTTTACGACCATTTTGAGTTTTTTGAACTCGAGTTTCGATCCAGTCTTGCTTTACGAGCAAGGTACGAGGTCAACGCCTCTTTCAAACCTAACAAGACAATTCTAGCGCGATTGAGATAAATAATGAATTATCAAAGTCAAAAATGCTGCCTTTTTTATCCCAAAAAAGTGGTTCCAATGGATAAAAAGCCTCCACGAAAGTCTAATTGTTTATGTTAGACACCCTGACTCAGGGACCCTGACCGTACTCACTTATCTTCGCTCTTGCAACTTGCAAATATCTCTTCATTCTTTTCTTCAACCAAATTAAGATTAGACTCAAAAGAACAGGAAACGAAATTTACAAACAAATAACAATTTTCGTCTTTCCGGTTTAAAAGCTCCAGGAAAACAAAGTCGGCTATTCAAAATGGTTGTTTCCATATTTATGAATAGATTCTTTTGATTATTATTATTTGAATAATTTATTTGATAATATTTTAGTATTTGAATTAATCGAACTGTAAGAGAGGAAAACAGCGTATCTTTTCGAATGGAATTTATGCATCAAGTTTGGCCAAGTTGTTCATGTAGGAACAGAGCACCTTGATGCCGTTGATGTAATTGAGTCGGTTGAACTTTTCGTTTTGGGAGTGGGCGCCGTCATCGGCCATTCCCATTGGAAGCAGCATGACGTTTTTCTTGGTGGCTTCTTGGAAGGTCAAGGTGATCGGAATAGAGCCACCTGAAGAGTCAATGTAAAGGAAAAAACAGCAAAAACAGTACCTTCTCGGGTGAAATCGGGATCAACATTGAACACTTCTCTGATCGCCTCTCGTCCAGCAACAAAGTTTGGATCCTTGATGTCAGCAACCCATGGAAGCCCGCCGTGACCCATGTCGAGCGAGATATCGCAGCTGGAGCCACTTTCTTCATGCAACTTCATCAAGTAGTCAGTGACCTTGGCCTTGATGTCGTCTGGGGTCTGGCTGGGGACGATTCGGAGCGAGAATTTGCCAATTACTTCTCGAGGAATGACGGTTTTTGCCCCTGAAATTCGATTAAAACAAGACTTTCTGAGCCTTCTCACCTGGATCAGCGTAGGCACCCTCGATTCCATGAAGAGAAAGAGTCGGGAATCGCCATCTGTTCATCAACAACTCGGCCTTCTTGTCCTTGATGAGTTTGTTGCAGCCAATGTCTTTTCGATACTCTTCCATGTCGAAGTCAATGTCTTTGTAAGAAGCGAGCTCTTCCTCCGTGACTGGATCGACCGTGTCGTTGATTCCAGGGACAAGAATAGTTCCGTCTCGTTTGACAAGTTTGGACATGAGATCGATGAGATGAGTCATTGCCTCTGGAACGGCTCCGCCAAAGACGCCCGAGTGCAAATCGGCGGCGGCGCACTTGACTTTCAGGAAAAAGTAGCAAATGCCCCGGAGACCGTAGGTCAGACAAGGCTTCGTCTTTCCAAGCCAGTAATTGTCCGAGATGCAGACGTAGTCGACTTCCTTGCCGAAGAAGTCAGTTCGTCCGAGGACGGTTTCGTCCAGTCCTTCGCTGCCGGACTCTTCCATCCCTTCGAAGCAGAATTTCAAGTTGACTGGGAGTTCCACGCCGTTCTTTTGGAATGCTTCGATGGCGTTCATCCAGGCAATTACGGGACCCTTGTCGTCAGTCGACCCTCGACCGTAGAGCTTTCCGTCGCGTTCTTCCAGCGTCCACGGGTCCGAATCCCAGCCGTCCTCGAGCTTCGCCGGCTGGACGTCAAGATGCCCGTAGACAAGGAGCGTTTTCTTGTTAGGATCGGTTCCAAGGCGGCCGAGGATGATGGGAGGGTAGGCAGCTTTGTTGCCACAGGGGAAGGTTTGTTCTCCAGCGGGGTTGGGGAAGAGCTCGGTCGTGGCGCCAAGCTTTTTCAAATCCTCGTTGACGAGTTCGACCATTTTGATGGTTTCTGGGCGGCGCTCATACTCGGCAGAAACGGACTGAAAATTGATGAATCAACATTAATAAGTTAAAACCAAGAGGCTTTCAAATTAAGGTACCTTGACAGCCACAGCATCGGCAAGTCTCTTTATGTACAGGTCTTGGTTTTCATCGACATACTTGAAAAGCTTCTCCATTTTCAGGGGCAAATTCTCGGACGCGTTTTACAGCTCACAACTTGCCAAAAGTAGCGGGTCTCCCGGACGTCTTGGCTCTTGATTGGGCAAAATCAAAGTCCAGACAAACAGTCTTTTCTCTGCAAGAATGTTCCCTCAGAGTCTGTTTATTTTCTTGCTCCTGTTGTTTGCTGACTGTCTTTTGCGCAAATCTAATTTACTGTTGAATTAGTTTCTTCTATTTCCGATCTCAAAATTGAAATGAAGCGCGAAGAAATGATAAAAATGGGTCAAAATTGAAAGGTTGCGAGTTTGTGCTTATTATGTCACGGATTCGCCGTCTTTTATAGAAGAAAAGAGAGTTGCTCAAGTCACGTGACTCTTCATAAGACAACTTGAGCTGAGCAAAGTATGAAGGGTTAGGTTTGTATTGCGTAGAATTGTGAACAATCGGAAGCATCAGGAAAGGGAATGCAGAAATAGAATAAGTCAGTGAAAAATAAGTGAGCTAAGATTTTAGTGAACTAGTTTGTAAACATGTTCTTCGTACGAGCCGACGGCAACTGTCCGTCCTTTAGCGCCCATTTCGTTGATCGCATCGACCATTTTTTCGACTAGTTTTCGCGTTGTTGTTGGAGCATTTAGGAAGCCACAGATCTTAGTGAGATTTTAAGAAACGATAGGTTTTGAAGCTCTTACCTGTTCCTTCGAAGCAGTGATCTTCCAAGAGTTCTCGGTGTGGCCCGTTTGAATCGGTCTTATTTCAAGTTGGCTGACCAGAGAGCGGATTATTTGACCAGTGACATCCGAGACGACAAGAACAAGGTTTTTCATCTGAATTTGTGATAAAAAGGGATCAAGGAGTAGCTTATAGTATGAAAATTGAAGATATATAAGAGTCTCCACCTTTTGACACTAACCTTAGACAAAAGAGGATGGTGACTGATAGCTTCTTCGATTCCTTTATGCATCGAGCTTTTCCAAGCACTTTTCCCCGGCTTGCTATGTTCCTTCGCCCCTTTGAGCGTCACATAAATAACTTCCTCGACAATCTTGGTCGTCGTCGAGGAAACAGATTTTCTCAAGCTCTGTCTGGCATTTTCTGAGTCGGAATTAGCAATCGACGCGATTTTCGAAGAGAGAAAGTCGAAGATACAGATTTTATCGTCGGCGACGGAGCTGTAGATGAAAGGATCGTTGGAGTCCAGACGACTTGTTGACTGCGCTTTTCTGGTGAACTCCGTCGGAGGGTGAGGCCGCCGCGAGGTCAAATGCTCATTGACATCGAAAACGAACAATTTCTCGATCAACTGCAGGTCTTTTTCTTTCTCAATCGACAGGAAAATCAGCAAAGGAGCGGAGCACATTTTCGCCTCCTTCAACGCCGCTTCCTTCGTTTCTTTCGCCGGGAGAGAGCTTGGAAGATCGACGATTCCAGCTCGTAGGTTTGACTTTTCCAGAAAAGTTAAAAGCGCCAAACGAGCAAGATCGGCCTTGTCGGTGTAAATCAGCACTTTGGGATGTTCGCAAGCGAGAGAACGGACGGGAGAACATGATTCTTGAAGATCGTCGATGAAGAAATCCAGCGAATATGCGTGTAGAAGTCGCGAGACGGGAAATACTGATGATTTGATTTCGTATTCCGTGGCTGATGCAACGATGAAGGTATCGTTTTGGCCTGGGCGCAGCTGACTATCACGCTCTCCCACTAACTAAAAGATGAAGATGATTATTTTGGTTCTAGAGGGGAAGAAGGAAGACGAACCTGGAAAGTGAGGCCCACGGAGTCTTGAGTCGGTAGCAAAGATGGTCGGTAGAAAACTTCAACGTCTAAATTTCAGATGTTAAATGAATTGATAGTTATTCTTTATTGGGTTCCAAAACCTTTGTAAAAACCTGAGTCAGGTTCCTAAATGAGCTTTGCTGTTGAAAAACAGCTTCTTTTAATCGAGCTTTTTCAGGAGCCTGACTTACGGTTAAACACAGGTTGGCGACCCAACCTCCGAACCCCATTCTTACCAGGAAGGATGGTGGATAAAGAGTCGGAAATCGCCTCCAGTGCTTCATACGCCGCTCTTGAAGAATTCGATTTGAGAAAAGGAAGAATTCTCTGCCGAGAAGTCTTGATGTCATAAATATTCAACGCAGTGATGTACTAAAATCATCATTATTTCAATCCATTTCTGAAGTTTTTCTGATACCTTTTCATCCGTAAGATATTCGCCAATCATTCGTTTAAACGCCCTGTCACGTGATAAGTTAAAAATCGTCGAGCGTTGGAAGTTTCGTTTTTGGGAAATTTTCACCAAATGGGATTTGATTCTTTCCGCCCCGCGCAAGGCAATGGAGCTGATGATGCTTTTCGTAATTTCGACGTGATTGAGGTGGATTTGAATCTTTTGGTTTGGAAACAGTTCGAACCAATTGTGGAAGAGGGATAGCAATTCGACCATTTGATGGCGGTAGAGGCTGTCGACGAGGGAAAGACGAAGCGTGTGTTTTTGACGAGGATGTTGGCCGTCGCTGTAGAGACCTTCAAAGACTGGGATGAGTTGGAAAAGACGGTCGCTTTGAGTTTTGGTGGCGACGCAGTAGTTTTGGAGGCCGTATCGTTGAGCGTCGGATAAATGTACCACCATTCCGCTGTTTTCCAAAACCCTGGGCGAGCTACTCGAAGTGGTTGAAAAAGGGTTGAGAATAGGCAGATCGAGAAAGCGATATTTCCTGCTGACAAATTTAGCAATGAAGATTTGTTGAAACATGAAGCCAGTTGGCGGACACTTGCTCTGGGCATTCAACCGGTCGAATTCGTCGCGAATGAACTCGACCTGCGATTTGGGCGAAGGAGTGGGCTTGAAGAGCTCTTTGAGAATGACTTGGAATGACTTTGAAGACTGTTTTTGGCAAGCCGCGCGGCTGAACTCTTGCACCTCGCGAATGTGGCTTTCTGACTCTTCGAGCAGCGCACTTTTATCGGCAAGACTTCGAGACTCTGCAGTGCGGAGGGTCGCTTTTCGGGCTCTTTGTGCAGCAAACCGATGATGATCTTCTCCGCGTCCTTGTCTTCGGAGCTGAATTCTTCTGGGAAGATATATTCGTCTTTGAGCTTGAGGATCTTTTCCAATCGCTCTCGGCTTTGATCTGGCATCCGATGAAAGACTTCGAAAAGAATGATTCCAAGAGCGTACATGTCGACTTTCGAGCTTATGGGTGATTTTCTCTTTGTATCAAAATACTCTGGCGCAATGTACAACGGAGTTCCAGCCAGCGACGTCTTGTCCGAATCCTTGCTAGAATTGAATCGTTGAATTCTGTATTCCGTTCCAGCGTGCCGGGCGAGGCCAAAATCGCCAATTTTCACATGACGATTTGAATCGAGAAAGATGTTTCCAGGCTTCAGGTCTCTGTGAATCGTCTTGTTCGAATGAATATAGTTCAAGCCCTCGAAGCACTCCCTAGCGATCATCCAGGCGCGTTCGGAAGGGATCGATTCTGTGGAAATTTCGTCCTTGAGAGTTCGATTGGAGCAGAATTCCATTTGAATGAAAATGTACTCGAGCGCTTGAGGAGACGGGGAACCATCTTCTTCGCAAAAAGAAAGTTTCCAACTCCCGCGACGGGATTCGGAGAGGACTCTTCTTCGCTCAGCCGCTGCTTCTGGCGATAAGCTTTCCTCCTCTTCATCCTCGTCGCTCGTAAAGCATTCGGATTTGGTCGAAAAGTCGATCTCTTCAGAGTCTGAGCCACTCATGTCGCCTGAAAAGTCGTCGTTGTAAAAAGAAGAAGTTCCAGCAATCGAGGCAAACTTGAGTTGATTCAGTTCCAAAAGGGACTCGTCTCGCAGCCGCTCGCTCTTTTCCATCTCTGAGGTAGTTCTGGAACGAGCAGGGAGAAGCCCTTTTATTTCGTGAATTTCCTTCCAGGAGTGATAGTATCGGACGATATTTTCATGATTGAGTCTTGAGAGCAAATTCGCCTCCCGCAAAATTTTCTGCGAAAGACGCTCATTCTTTGGCAGCGGGATCTTCTTCACAGCGTAGCTTTGACCATCAATTTTATGCCTCAATCGCGCCACTGAGCCGAATCCGCCTGCGCCGATGATGCTTATTTCGTCGAAACAGGGGTCTGGATTCGCCTAGCGAATTCGCTCATGAGCGAAGCGAAGCAGAGCGAAGCGAATTCGCTTCGCTTTCGCTTTTGGTAATTTCAGTTCGCTTCGCTTCGCTTTCGCTTTTTACCAAAAATTTTCGCGAAAAATTGCGCTCAACATAAATCGTTCTTAGAGTTGAATATTTTGTTTTTTTATTAGCTTTTGCGAAAGAAAAATTTTGCGAAAAATTTTGCTTATTGAACTAAGCTTGCACTTATAAGATTGCCAGAGATATCCGATTGCCAAACTCGGGGAAACGGCGACTTGGGCAAACAGCGACGTAAATTAATTTATATTGATTAGTCATAAAAGTTTAATAATTGTCACACAGTCAATCCTGGCTTCACCAACTTTAATCCCGGCTTCAACAACCTCGATTCTGGCTTTTCAGACGTCATTTCTGGCCTCTCATACCGTCAGTCCCGGCTTCTCAGTTGTCAATCATGGTACTCTAAAATTGGATTGACGTTGGAAAAGCCTAGGTTGAAATTGATGAAGCCGGGATGGACGTTCGAGAAGTCGGGATGAACGTCCAATAACCCGGGATCGGCATTGCCAATGCCGCACTGGTAAAGCCATGATTGAAGTCGGTGAAGCCAGGATTGACGATAAAGAAACCGGAATTGAGGAAAGAGAAGCCAAGATTGACATAATATCAATGATATAGGAGAAGACTTGATTGAAGTTGGTGAAGCCAATGTTTAGTGATCATTGATCAATCAATATACGTTTATTCACATGGCAGTTTGCCCAAGATTTCGGTTTCCCAAGTTGGGTAAACGGCGATTTGGGCAAATGGAGATTACTCGAGCCTCACATCCTCTTTAGCTGAGTTAGATCAGAAAATTCACGATTTCGCTCTTTCCGGAGAGGGAGTCCGAAATTCGGACTCCGAATGCCCGAAAAACAAATAAAATTGAAACCGAACTTAAAATGGACACTTTTCAAAGGTCAAATATTTTCGGAAAATTTTCGCTTTTTAGAATAACTTTTCGCTTCGCTTCGCTTTCGCTTTCGAAATTTTGATTCGCTTCGCTTCGCTTTCGCTTTAAATTTTTGAAAAATTTTCGCTTTCGCTTTTCATTTTTGGCCAAAATCCAGACCCCTGGTCGAAACGATCGTCCTTCGTGAAATTCTCCGCTGTTTCGCTTTCGTGGCTGAAGCTTTCGTCCAAACTCGACGGCGCTTCATTTTGAATGTTTTCGCTTTTTCTTCGTTGCAAAAATCGCTGATTCATGAGCGCTTTGACGTTTTGGGAGTTGACGTGTTTTCGTTCTGTTGCTTCGCTGATGAACGCGTTGAAAAGAGACTTCTCTTCGCCACTGAGGGCGAGGCCACTGGCGACGCGGGAGAGCACGCCGGCGATGTTGGCCAGATCGAAGTTGTTCATGATGTTTTCGACTTGTTGGAAACCGACGACGAAGAAACCAAGCTCCGTAGCTTGCTGAAATTATCATCAGAAATTCTGAATATTCTAAATTCTGAATATATATATTCTGATTCAGAATATTTAATGGGAAAAGAGCCAAACCTTGACAAGCTGCTTCATCCCCGCCCCCACCAGCTGCAGCGTCTTGTTATCCGTGTTGAAGAAAATTGAGCTCTCGGAAATGTGGCCATGCGCAACTTGAGCGATCATCAAAGCATCTACAGCGAACAACAAGTCCTTGGCCAAGGCTCGTAGCTGATCGTAATTCCTTGCTTCGGCGAACTTGAAATTGTGCAAGAACGGGTAAATGAGATAGACTCGCGAGCCAGAATTGAGGCCGCTTTGGGAAACGCTCTTCTCGTCGAAATAATCGCGCAGAAAGTCCCAGTCTTTCGAGGAGACGAAGTCGATGGACGATTCTACTGTCACCGCGAAAGGACTAAAAAGGGCTCAAGAACTCAATCCCAAAAGCACTAGAACTCACGTCATTAAATATTTTTGCCCTTCTTTGGCAGCTTTTTCGAGGCGATTGAAAAGCATCGTTGAAAACGACTTCAGTCGGGCGGTCCGTTCATCAAGACGCTCGAGTGATTTTGGGATGAGATTGATGATGTACGCCATGTAAACAGTTCCATTCGGGTGGATAACCATTCGTTTTTCATAACCAAAAGGGCTTCAAAAGGTTCTCAAAAACCTAGAATGCCAAAAAAAGATAAATTCTACAGACTAATCGCAAGATAGCGATACTTCCCATCAAGCGCCCTCATTGGTCGAAATAAACACCCTGCTCGCTCGACCAATCAGGGCGCTCGATGGAAAATGTTGTTATCGAGAAACGCGGCTGTACAAATCTTGTTCCTTTTTGAACCTATTCTCAATTCGTCGGAAACCCTGCGACACTTGTACATTGGAATCTTGTGCTCTTCCTTTCCGTCATCTACTTCGACGAATTCCAAAAGAACTCTTCCTTCCAAATGCGGATTCTTGTCGAAGAAAGATTCTTTCTCGTGCTTGCTTTTTCCATTGCTGAACATCGACATTCCCTTTTTCTCTCTTCCTTGATTTTGCGCCTTCGTGAAATCTCTAAAAAACAAAAACTTGAAAGACTGGAGGATGGTAAATTCGCTCTCACGTCGTGCTAATCACTCGGCCGGTGCTTCGTATCCTGTATAGAATTTCACGAATTTCGAACGACAAGTCCAGTAGATACGGATCGCCGAGACGATCGCGCGCTTTTTGCATGAGCTCATCTTCAATTTTTTTCAGGTCGTCTTGGGCCACCTTGCTGCCGGTGATCTTCGACGCCTCGACCGTGATCTTGCTCGGCACTTCATCTGGATATCCTCCTGTCAGGTTGATAGTAACATTTACGACGTATTGCTCCGCCGTGTCGCCCCAACTGGAGCGCGATTCTTGAGGGCCCAAGTAGAAGGAAACAATGGGAGGAATGTATTTTCTGTTTTCATCGAATTTCTTTGCACGCAAGTCACTAAACAATCATCATGAGCTGCGTTGCATGCATCCTGTGTTACATAGTAGAAAACCTGAGTCAGGGTCCTCAAAGAGTTTCAAGGAAAAGCCGCGTATTATTGAAACTCCTTGAGGACCCGGAGTAAGATTTTCTACAAAGGCAACCTGTGTCATAAACCTGTGTCATAAACCTGAGTCAGGGTCTGAAAGATGTCCAATGACAAGCTTTCAGACCCTGACTCAGGTTTTCTACACAGGTTGCCGAACCTAGAGCAGAAGGGATCGGAAGAAAAGAGTACCTGAATTCAGTGTTGGTGTAAATCTGCCTGAGCGAGTAGATTTCTCCTTCGCAAATATCGCGGTTGTCATCCGCGACCATATTGGCACATTCTGAAATCCCCACGTTATCACTCATACGAAATTGGTATTCAATGGCTACCCTTTTTCTCTGATTCTCTGTTTTCGTTCAGAGCGATTTTCCCCGAAGAAAAATTCGTTGACGAAGATTTTCGTCAGAAAAATAAGAAATTATCGGAAGACATTAGTTGATATTTTCTTATCTAGAATTCGAAGTAGATTTTGTTGAAAGTGAAAATGGAAAATGAACTTTGAAGATTGAAGTAGATTTCTCTCATTTCTGCGCTTCTCTATTTTTCGTAGATTTTCGTGTCTTTTGAAAATGATGTTGCGCGTGTGGGAAAAAGAGCGCGGAGGACTTTTCACGCTGGAAGAAGAGACGGCTTGTTGAGGAATAATATAATATAATTATAATAAATTATAAATAATATATAAATAATATTAATTTAGTTATATTTTTATAAAATATATAATTTAAATATAATTAAAATAATATAATTTACCGCATCTTCTCTCTGTCTGGTAGACAGTCGGATGCTTGGTGTCAGTCTGTTAATTAAAATTGCTCTTGATAAAATTATTGGCGAGTCGATAAATATTGAAAACGCAACTAATTTTTGATATCGAGGAAATCGACTGTATCAATAATAAAATGACAAAATTGACATCAAGGAAGAAAAGACGCTAGTTTTCGCTTTTTTCAGAAAAAAGATCCTATTTTTTCAATTTCTTTTTTGGGCAGAAGAAACATTTGTTTTTTAATTGTACTCTGAGAATAATTTAGGCGATTATCAAGTGAGGGCGCCAACGGGCCAATTTGGGCACATCAGCGCTGAACTTCGATCGGCCCGTCTTTTTCCCCTTTTCGGCTTTCGTTTTCTTAAAAAAAATGTGACTGGAGATGATCTGAGCACGTGTTCCTTCCAATTTTGTTTATTCAAGCTGCAGAAGCATGAGCAGAGATATCTGGCCTGAAAATGGACTTCACTCACAAGGACAAATGCTGAAAATTAATAATGTACGTTCATTCAAATAATGATTAAAAATATTAAAAAAATTTAAGGGGGTAGGCATCGATAAACCTGATTTTTGATAAAAAAAATATCATTTTGAAATCCTTATTATTTTCGAGACAAAATTTAATTTTTGCTCTAGAAAAGCTTTGGCATCGAAATTAGCTCAGAAACCTGTGTTGAAAACCTGAGTCAGGATTTGAAAGAGCATTGATAAAAAGCCGCAAAATGAATTAAAATGGTAGTTTTCGGCTTTATTTCTGCGCAGCTTTTTTATCGAAGCTGTTTTAAATCCTGACTCAGGTTTTCTACACAGGTTTCTGAGCAAATTTCGATACCCAAGCGACACTCAAGAGCAAAAATACAATTTTGTCTCGAAAATAATAAGGATTACAAAATGATATTTTTGTATTAAAAATGGGGTTTAACGATGCCTACCCCTTAATATTTTTTAATAATGAATAATGAACAGTTTTTACTTTTCCCTCTGTATTACAGAGTCTGTAAGACAAAATAAAAGTGTCGGCTTTTTTTCATATATTTTAACTGTATAACTGTATATTTAGCTATTTCGGCAAGGATTCCCAACAGGCGCCAGCTCATTCGATATCGACCCAGTCCAGGAACTCGTCGTGATAGGAAGAGTTGAATTATGCAGCAGCGTTGCTTTAGAATTAATGTACAGCGCATCAAGTGAACTCAGTGGATCACACATTGGGTAAACAGTTGCCTCGCCACTTTTTACCAAGCTGCTTGCATGGAAAGAAAACTCTTTTGACAGGCACGCGATTCGGTGCCGTGAGAATCTTTGGTCGCAAGGGAGTCGATGTTTCTTTCGAACATGCGAGTCAGACTGAACTGACGAATCTTACTTTTATTGTCAACAAGGTAAGCATACAGTATGCTGCATACTAACTCATTTACTATGACTCATAGTCTATTATTTTCAGGAGTTTTCATGAGTTTTCATGATTTTTCATGGTGAGCTGAAAATTGAGAAGAAACCTGTGTAAAAACCTGAGTCAGGCTCTGAAAGATCTCAAATAAAAAGCTGCGAGCCGGCTTCTTTAAAAACAAAGCCGCTATGCGGCTTCTTGATAAAAGCCGCTACGCGGCTTTTCATGAAAGATCTTTCAGACCCTGACTCAGGTTTTCTACACAGGTTTTCGAGCTTAGATTAATTTCAGAACACATTAATTCCTCGTGAAATGAAAATATGCGTGAAAACATTGTTTTTGAAACCGCGAAAACAGAACATTGAATAAATGATGTCTACACATTGAATCACGGATCCGTTGAATTTATTAATTAGGGGTGCTCGCTTTAATAAATCACCCCCTTAGCGCGCTATATTCAGGGTTATTTGGTGACAGTTGGCGATGGATACAACTTGCATCTTTGGGACTTGAACTCGCCAAGGCCAACTTTGCTCCACACGCTTCGATTTAGCTCGGAAAGGGTGAGCTACGTCTACTCGCCGGTGGAATCGGACTGGTTGTTTGTCGGAACGGAGAAGGGCAATATTCATATTGTGCAGCTACCGAGCTTCCAATTGTCCAGCTATACGATTCATTGGAACAAAGGTACCCTTATCCTTGATCTTGGCTTGACGCTGTCTAGTAGACAGCCTGCGTAGAAAACCTGAGTCAGGCTTCTGATAAAAGTTTTTCAGAACCCTGACTCAGGTTTTCTACACAGGTTGCCGAACGGTTCGGCCTGAACCAAGACCTCTATTTTTCATCCCTTTTTTATCAACAAAATTAAGCAATCGAGCTGAGTTGTCGTTCCCGCCCGGGCAAAATCTGTCAAATACAAGAAAACCCTTATGATTCAAACAAACTCCTCCTCGGCTTCGAATCCGGATACTTGGTTCTTTGGAACATCTCCGAGAAAAACGCCGAGTTGCGGTTCCGCTGTCACGCGGAGCTGACATGCCTTTTCTGGCACCACGAAGGGAAGCAGTTTATGACGGGCCACAAAGACGGTCAGCTAGCGATTTGGAACGTCAAATCGTCAGAACCGACGGCGAAATTTAACCCGTACCAGGACGATAAAGAGTCGGAAGCTGAGCGAGTGCGGTAAAGCCATTTTTCGTGAATAAAACTGAACTTGTTCAGGAGCGGGTCGAAATTTTCCCCGATCGAGCAAGTTGCCTGGTTTGGAAAATCGAATGGCGACAGTTTGATCATTTTTACGGGGGTGTTCCGGTTGACAATGACTTGCAAGAGCGGAATCTTGTGTCGGTTCTGAGAGGATCAGATGTTTCAATGCTCGAAATGGACTACAAGATCTTGTCTTTTAAGCCGATTCTTAAGGTAAGCTCGCAATATAATATAATATAATATAATATAATATAATATAATATAATATAATATAATATAATATAATATAATATAATATAATATAATATAATATAATATAATATAATATAATATAATATAATATAATATAATATAATATAATATGATTCAAGAGTCCCTGGACATGCGAAAATGAGCCGCCAAAATCGCTGATGATTTTGCTGGAGCGAGATTGGGTGACTATCGATTTGGATCCTCAAAAGAAATTTGCTGTTATTCCAAATCCACATGCGGGTAGATTTTCATTATCAACGACGAGTTAATTAATCCTCTTTGCCTTCTTCCAAGTTGACATACACGAGTCGCCCGTCACCGCGGTGAAGTACATTGCAGATGAAAAATCAATTTTGACGAAGCTTCTTCTTCATTCTTCTTCAAAAAGCGCGACTCAAGAAAAAGCTCCTGAATCCTGGCCGATTGGCGGTGGTGAATTGTAAGCTCCTTTTTTGAAATGGCAAATCCAAAATTAATTTGCCCGCGTACAAAATGTCCTAAATAACTAATGACGCGCTACGTAGGGTCTCAGCTGCTTGTCAGATTCACTCAGTCATCTCATTATTTTTTCAAGAGCCGACGTAGAGGAGCAACAGTCTGAGATATTGATCATGGGCCACGAAAGTGGCAGCTTGAAATTCTGGGTGCTTGGTTCTTCTTCAATGTCTACTTTGTCAAGTTCCAAAAAACTCATGTTTCCAAGTCCAGACAGCAAAGAATAAGGGTGTCACTAAGTTAACCCTCAAAAAAGCTGCTGTTTTTTTGGAACTTTGAAAGGCAAAAATCAACACAGCCGACCTGTTCGACCCGCAAAGCATCGCTGGTCTCATTGACACAGGTATCATCGCCGAAAAAATCGGAGAAAATAATCAAGAAAAATAAGATTGCGAAGAGCCGCTGGCAATTATGTCGATTGAACTGTGTTTGCATACCCAGACACTAGCCGTCTGCGGCGCCGCTGGCCACGTGCTCGTCTTCAACTTTGACAACTGCCTCCTCGAGCGAGTGACTTCCCTCGCGAGGGTAACCATCGACACGGTTTTGGAGGACATCAATTTGAAGGGAGCAATTATGACAGCGGCACAGAGGGGAGATGCCATCTCAGGAAAGGGGATGAATGATGAGGCGACACTGGTTATTTCGCTGAATGGCGCTGAATGTCGCTAAATGTCGCCGAATGTCGTTAAATGTCGCCAAATGTCGCTGAATGTCGCCGAAAATCGCCGAATATTGCTAAATGTCGCCAAATGTCGCCAAAAATAAAAAATGGCGACATTCAGCGACAGTCGGCGACATTTAGCGACATTTAGCGACATTCGGCGAGATTAAGCGACATTTTGCAACATTTGGCAACATTAAGCGACATTTGGCGAGATTCAGCGATATTCCGCGACATTTGGCGACATTCGTCGGCATTCAGCGACATTCGGCAATATTCGGCGACATGACCAGTGCGCTCCTAATGATGACCCTGACTCAGGTTTTCCACAAAGTTTTCTGAGCCAAGCAGAGCACCCCACATTTTCTTTATTTCTAAATTTAACATCCCAGACAAAGACTTCGATCAAATCTGCAGCAACAAAGTGGCAATTTTCAACTCGTCGCAGCACTCGAGTGTTTGGAAAGCGAGGATGATCTGGCTAAAATCTTCTCTCTGGTCGGGGTTGATCGCAGCGTTCAATCTATCGCTCAGGCGATAGACTGTCTAGTTAATCTGATCAACCCTTTTTGAGTCGATCAACACGCACTGGGGAATTGTGGTAGTTGGAACGACAAATGGCGTCATTGTTTTTGACTACATTCAAAAGTAAGAAATTGCAAAATTGTCAAAAATGCCATCAAATTGCAGGAAGAAGATTCTGGCCATGTCTACTGCTGATTTACAGACATCAATCGATAGCAGAGCGAGTCGGTCCAAATCTCAAGGTTCATAAGTCCATTTATTTATTCAGAAAACTACAGTACTCAATCAGTGGATCGATCTTCCTCCCTTTTCTTAATCCCTTTTTTCTAGGCTTGACGGACATAATCGAAATGGAAAACCAAAAATCACTGGACAATGAGCAAATCAAGCCCCAATCTTCGCCAAACGCGAGGAGGGGCTGGCGAACTTCGAAGGTTTTTTCGTGGAAGTCCTCTATGTCTTCGGGCAAGTCTTCTATTGCCTCATCGATGGCGTCCTCCGACGGAAGTTTTTCGCAGTCTCTGGCGACTTCGATTGATGATCACTCGATGGCGAGCAGTTGTAATCGGCTCAACTCTATCTACGACGGTTAATTCTAAGGGGGAAATTTTTGAGGATTTTTGTTTTTAGATTCGGTGATCTCCGACAGTGGGGATGCGATAAACTGCTTGGAGACCTGCATAACACCGGAGAAAAAGGAAGCGGGGGCCAACGATTTGGCTCGGCTTCCAGTCAGGAAAAGTAATGAGCCTTTCACTCTCCGTCCCAACTTCGGGTGACAGATCAAGCTTGCCTCTCATCTGCACACCGACAGGTTAGCATCGATTTTTCAGCTTTCCAGAAAATATATGCTCGCTTTTTCTCGGAAAAACGCTTCATTAAAACCCTGCCTCAGGATTTCTACACAGGTTCCCGAGCTCTCATTATATCTTTCTAGGCCAAATAATCTGCTTGCGCTCCCCTTTGGTGTCGATCCTCTTCTTCGAATCCGACCGAATCATATCCTGTACAAATGCCCAGAACAAACTGCCAGATGCTGAGAAATTCTACAATATAATCGCCGCCGAGCGACAGATAAAGGTAGCAAGCGACCCTTTCCATTATGTTGATAGCATATCTTTTGAGGTGGTGAGCGCCTGCTCGAGGAACAACAAAGATGTAAATATTGCTCCCGAGGACTTTGGACTGCTTTATAAGGTGCAAGGCGTGGAGGTTGGAAATACAAGTTATTTGGCTTGTTTTTCGACAGCTGGGAATATTCTGTTTTATTCCTTGCCAGGGTAAGTGCAAACTTTCTTTGTATTAAACCTGAGTCAGGGTCATCTAAGTCAGTTTCAGACAATGACTCAGGTTTTCCAGTCAGGTCGGGAGCTTACTGAAACTTTGCTCGGAATCCTGTGTTGAAAACCTGAGTCAGTTTCTAAAAGGCTTAATGAAAGCCTGACTCAGGTTTTCTACACAGGTTTCCGAATCCAGTTTCAGTAAGCTCCGCGACCTGTGTTGAAAACCTGAGTCAGGCTTTCATTAAGCCTTTTTAGAAACTGACTCAGGTTTTCAACACAGGATTCCGAGCAAAGTTTCAGTAAGCTCCCCGACCTGACTGGAAAACCTGAGTCATTGTCTGAAACTGACTCAGATGACCCTGACTCAGGTTTTTCACACAGATTTCCAGGCTTACTAAAATCCTGTCTAAAGATGTCCACCCTTTTTGCAAAAGAGTAACAAATAATTCAGCCTGAAACTACTCCTCAATGTTTCATACGTTCCCCGCGTGAATCAAAGAATCCTCTCGACCATGAGTTTCATCAACAACGGCCGCGGCACTTATCTAATGAGCCCCTTCGAAATCCAACACTTTTGCTACACAAAGGTAAAACTCACCAATTCACCCCTGATTCCACAAATTGTGATTACTGAAGGAGTCTTTCGACGAACAAAGCCGCCATCAGCCGAAATTGATCCGCGAAGTTGCTCTTCGAGACCGCCCCTCGACATCGTTTTTCGGCTCCATTTTCTCAAGTCGGACGAATTCGAACAATCGAAGTGAACTTTTTGGCGAAACGAAAAATTCTTCTCAAATTGCTACTTTTATTCCCGGCGATTTGGACCGAGAAACATCAGGATTAGCAGGCAAGAACGCCCCTCGTCTCGGAAAAACCTGACTCGGGTTCTGATGACTAGGGTAAGTCACTAATAATTGAGCTTTTTTCTAGCTTAGTAGGGTGGGAGTATAATACCTTTTAGAATCCCCAGAAGCTAAGGATCATTTTGACTATTGATAGTGGGGGTCATCTCGTACCCTGAGGGCATTTAGGGGCCTCCAAAGTCAAAAAATCTGGCCAATTTCGGAAATTTTAATTTTTGACCGCCCGGACTGACTTTTAGAGCAAGCGGCTATGCTAGAATTGTAGCCTAGGCTCTGACGGTCATTTTGAAGGGTCGAAAAGTACTGATACCCCCATTCCAGAGGCGCTAGAGGCCTCCGAAGTTGGGAAGTCGGCCGAAAATAGGTACTTTTTGGGAAAAGTACGCATTTTCCTTCGCGGATGCTTAAAAACTCTTGTTATCAGTCTTTTATTTATTTTTAGGTTAATGACACTGTTTGGGGTCATCTGAGGTCACTTGAGGTCATAAATCATATTTTCAAGTTTTTTTAATATCTTCACCTCAAGTGACCTCAGATGACCTCAAACTGTGTCTTCAACCTCAAACATTAAAGAAAGACTGATAACAAGAGTTTTTGAAGCATCAGTGAAGGAAAATGCGTACTTTTCCCAAAAGCACCTATTTTCGGCCGACTTCCCAACTTCGGAGGCATCTAGCGCCTCTGGAATGGGGGTATCAGTATTTTTCGACCTCAAAATGACCGTCAGAGCCTAAGCTACAATTCTAGCATAGCCGCTGGCTCTAGAAAGCCAGTCCGGGCGGTCAAAAATTCAAATTTCCAAAGTTGGCCAGATTTTGGGACTTTGGAGGCCCCTTAATGCCCTCAGGGTACGAGATGACCCCCTATTATCAATAGTCAAAATGATCCTTAGCTTCTGTGGATTCTAAAAAGGTATTATACTACCACCCTACTAAGCTAGAAAAAAAGCTCAATTATTAGTGATTTACCCTACTGATGACCCTAAATGAAAAGCCGCGCAGCGGCTTTTTTCAAAAACGAAGCCGCGTAGCGGCTTCGCCAAATTGTCATTTCAACCTTTTCTTTAATACTTTGCGGCTTCGTTTTTGAAAAAGCCGCTTCGCGGCTTTTCATTTATCGTCTTCAAAACCTGAGTCAGGTTTTAAACACAGGTTTCCGAGCGCGGATCATCCATTTATTGCTAATTTTTCAATTTCTTATTCAGGAGAATTGGCGAAAATGCGGCAAAACGTAATGAAGCGTCAGGAAAATCTACAATCCTGCACTGACGAGACTGAAAAAATGAAGGAAAGTGCAAGTCAATTTCAAACAAATGCGAAGCAGCTCAAAGAGAAGGTGAAAAACAGGAAGTTTTTTAAGATTTACTTACGTTCTATTTTCAGTTCAAGACAAAAAAATGGTTTCAGCTTTGAATTCCTGGAATAAAATATTAAAACTAATAATCTATTGTAAATAAAAAACCACGAAGAAACATTTATATTTTTTGATGAATGTTTTACTAAATTTTTAATGGTAATACTTATAAGAGAAAAGCTAAGAATAGTTTCTTCTATTTTTTGTTTTTTTAGTTTTTCAGACGCAATAGTTCGCAGGAACTCCAAGAATAACAGGAAACGAACTTCTGTCGGCATTTCCAACGACTCGTTGATTGATCAGTCGATTTCTGTCAAAATCCAGTCGTTCGATTGCATAAGGACTATCGTAGCCAGGGACGATGAAAATTGAATTTTCCATCATAATTGCAGAAACAGCATAGCAAGCCTCAATTCAGATCAAAATCTTTGACAGCTTAAGAAACTAACGTGTTGAAGATTGCCGATTTTTCCCCAAATATCGTTTTCAAGAAGCCAAATTGCTTTTTGTCTTTCTGACACATCCCTTCCCCCGGCGAGCAAAAGACTTCCACTTGGAAGGCCCATCAGAGCATGAAAATATGTTTGTCTTTAATAATAATAATAAATAAAGGATTTTTTTTCAATACCTCTTCGGGAAATCGGGTAAACTTGTCCATCCCGAAGAACCAAGGGTCTCGACTTTATTACTTTCATGACCGTAAGAATCTCCAACAGTAGTCGGCTTTCCTTTATAGAGACCGAGGTTTCCTCCCCAATGACCATAATTTGAAGAGAAAGTTTCGCTTGAAAATTCTCCATCAAAATCGTCACATCTGTTGTAATCGAAGACATCAAAGCAAATTATTGCTTTTTGTCCATCATCGACTGAAAGCGCTGCAGAGCCCATCGAGAATCTATTGATCAATCGAGTTTGCTGTACTGTCCAAGTGCAGCCTTCCAGTTTCGCGATCTAGACTCAATTATTCTCAAAATTCTACATTTTCTTACTTTTTGTGAATCCGGCCATCCTGCAAAAATGAAAAGCTCATTTTTGACAAGAGCATGTGGAGCGTATAAAAGATAGTCATAGCTCGGAGCCTCGATTACCACGTTTCTTCTTGTTTTTCCATCGTTAGTCATCAAAAATGCTTTTTCTAAGTCCTTGCTCATAACCAAAATTCCCTTTCCAGAAAAAAAATATAAATTCTTGATTTCTGCGCGATCATCAAACTTGAACATCCGCATCTTTTTAGTCTTCAAATTTTGAAGACCGCTCATTTTCATTTTCGATAAGTATCTGTTTTTATTTTGATTCTTTTTCTGGTTGAGTTTTTGTCAAAAAGGTGAAGCATTTATTTTTAATTTAACCTCTCCTCGGTTATTTCTAAAGAAGTTCCCGTTGAACTCGATGATTTGAAACGTAACTTTAATTTCGACAATCGATTGATTTTCGTCGCCAAAAATGAGCGAATTTCAGAATAATCGGAATCAATCCAAAGAGAATAATTTGAAGAAATTCCGAAACTCAGAAAAGTCGATCCTTCAAAAAAACTCAATTCAAGTATTTTAATTTCTTCAAAAATGGGCGATTTCTCTGAAGAGACCATTTCGAATTCGAATTTTTCTGTTCCATTGAATTTCATCTCGAATGTAGAAATGTGATTCAATTCTGCGAGAGAAGTAAAGAATTTATCCGGAATGATCGTTGACTGCCCGAAACTAGGTGGGAATCGCGGCTGAGCGACGGCGTTCTTGGCAAAAGCTGGAAATACATCGTCGTGAAACGCAAAAAATGGATTGCTCGTGACGAACATTTGTTTGTTTGCTGGTTGCAGGACGAACTCGATTTCGAGAAGGTCTTTCAAAAGAATTTAAAATTAGATTGAGATTTTCAAATTTGAAAAAATAAATCCTTTCCTAAATCGTAATTGACTTCGAACGAAAAATCGAAAACGTAATTTTGAATGAAAATTTTCTCGTCGTTGATGATCCCGTTTCCAAAGTATTCACATTCGTCATTGTAAAAGCCCCATCGATCTGTGTACCAGCCATCTTTGGCAAATAACTTCGAATAACAAATAGTTTTCTCTTCGTATTTATCAAGCGAGCCGATCCACTCGCGGCCAAGAGTCAGGAATTTGCCTTCTGCCTCCAGCAGCACCGAGTAAAGAGTGTTTGAGAGATCGATACTTCTTGTTACCAGAATCAGAAGAAGTCTATCCAGGTCGATCTAATATCGGTTAAAAAAGAAATCCAAATCATAGTCAATGATCACAAATTTTAACTCGTTCCAGAGGGACCACGTGTAGAAGATCGAGATCTTTCAGCTCTGCCGAAACTCCGAATTCGCCTTTTTTTCCAGCCTTTCTCCGACTCCTCGCGCTTTCTTATTCTGTTCAAAGCGATTGTTGTCGACAACTTGATGAAATGATCTCCCAGCTTGACGCTCATCAAGTGAAAAACTCCTTTGAAGCTGATCGATGAAACTTTGCCGTTTATGTGATTGCTGGGAATGTAACCTTGTGCCTCTTCGAATCGCCTCGCATTGTAATCGGGGGCGTAGTAGTAGCATTTGTCTTCTTTGCCAGTTGGTCGACTTTTAAGGGTCAAAAATTGTTTTTTTACCGATAAAAATCATTCTTTTCGACCCTTTTCAGATAACGACGACCGGAAAGACTTTTGTTTCTTTTTCTTTATTGCGAATTTCAATTTGATGAGTCCCGATCGAAGAGCCGTAATGAAAGACAAAAAAGCCACTGTAAAATTAACTAATGAAATTCACGAACATTTACTTACATTTTTTTGTGTCGATAACGAATCAAATCTGTCGAACAACCATTTTCTTTAACTATAAGCAGGTTCCCTCCTGCATCAACCAAATAATGCTCGCCATTAAGAAAAGTCGCGCCTATTGACTTTTGCTGTTTTATTCAATTTTATACAATTATTTCCCGGAAAAAAAATTCCCCCGCGAGCAGCACAGGGGGTGCTCTGACCGAGACGCATAGGGTTTATAGAGAAGAAAAACATTCATGGGAAAAGAAATTTCCTGGAAGAGTCAAATTCTTCAAATTTATAGCAGTTGATTCGTTCGTCGCCCGGAAACTCGACAAAATAACCGGATATTCTTTGTAAAACGTTTCGCGAACGTATAGTCTCTTTGTAATCAGTTCTCTTCCATTTTGGACTTAAAAGGTGGGCATAAGGTGCGCACGGTTATTATCCTGCGTAACAAATATGTCAACTTTCCTTCAGTCTTATTGGCATTCTTCAAATCCCAAACGGGAACAAGCGTTTGCTCATTAACGACCTTCTCACACTGATAAAAAGGGCATGGACATCCTCCTTGGCAATATTTCTCGAAAGGGCAGACTTCTCCGGCAAAGTTGTGTGATCTTGTCAATTGAACGCAGATTTTATCGCAACGCGAAGCAGTTGTATTCCTTGTTGATTTCAAAACGAGAGTTTCCGAACAAAGATGGCGGCAAACGAATCGGTCTTTTTTTATGTTTTAGAAAAGAACAGAAACTAAAGGAGTTATTTTGAAAAACATGGCATAGAACTTTTGTTTTTTGCATCGCACTTGATTGACTTCGTTTTCTTTGTCTGTGAATGTAAGAGGTGGCTCTATTGCTCTTTCCTCAATTTCGATTGCAGCCGGTTGAATGAAATTGCCAGTTCCGATGCATTCATGAAGCAAGTGCGCGCAGTAATCCAAATCGTTCGTAACAGTGCAGTTTTTGAAGCCAGCTTGGCAAACGTTCGTCAAATAAGTTGGTTGAATGCGAGCTGCAAGCATCGAATAGTAATTCGCTGAAATACTCTAAAACTGAGCTTGATCGGATCTGAATACTTATTCCGACGACGGTGCCCCAGAAAATGCAGCCGAACAACATGTAAACGGCGAATTGAGGCATCGTTGCGTTGCCGCTGAAGAAGATAAATGATAATCAACGATAAGGTTCTGTTCTTCTTGCGAAAAAAATTCAGGTAGTAATGGGTTCTCATTCGAGCTGCCCCTTACCCTAAACCTAACCCAGGTGGCTTCGCCCCCGGACCCTCCCCCTGGAAAGAGTTCCGAGTCCCTTTCCTTCACCAATAGGCTATTGGCAATAGCCCAGATTCTAGAGATATTGGATGGCTCAAATCATAGCGTCGAATGATAGCCCCTCTCTAAGAAGTTCCACCCTGTGACCATATATCCGATCGTCAAATACTACTTCCTCAAAAAAAAATTCATGTTCACCAGTACTTACTGGAGCGAAAAGCGTTTTTTCGATTTCCAGAAGTTGTCCTTCTCAAACTCGTCAGAAAAGAAGCCCGTGAATCGTTCAGGAACATCCTTCGCCGGCGTTTTCGTTTTTTCCTTTTCAAGTCGCTCCATCATTTTTACAAGCTCGAATTTCTTTTCGCCCTTCGTATTTTTGATCCCACTGGCGAATTTTGTTCTGAGTTTTCGGAAACTTTTAATCGATCTCTGTAGAAATCCGTCGTTCTCTCCGTCCTCTTCGTTGTCTTCAACTTGATTGAAACCTTCCACGAATTTCTTCGCCTTATTATTGGCTATCTTGACAGTCGGCTTGACTTTCTTTATATTCGGCATCAAAATGCCCCCGCCAAGCTCGAGCAGCGTTTTTTTCACCTTGTTCGGAAAAAGGACGATTCCGTCGATCGTTTTCATCACCGTTCCAACAGCGTGGCATTCAAGGCATCTTACATTAGCCAACTCATTCGATTTCGGGCCTTTTTGGACGGTAGTTTCTTTCATCGGACTTTTTTGGATCCTTACGGGAATACGACTTTTGGACCTTTTCGCCTCAGTTGGCAAAGGGTCATTTTCGCTCTTCATTTGGTCATCTTTTTGCCGCTTTCGTGGCGAATCACTGCTCAACGGTCGAAGTTTCTCTTCATTCGCAGTTTTCTTTTTCTGCCGACATTTCGGTTCCTTAATTTTCTGCGGAGGCGTCTCTTCAACGGGGCGAATCTCTTCCTCGATTCTCGATTTCATTTCGAAAATCGAATCAAAGTCGACTCTGAAAGTAAACAAAATCAACTCCCGCCGCTTGTTTAATAGTCTTTTTTAATCCTCGGAAGAGCTCCCCTAGTCGGTGTTATTGAGCAAGAGAACTCTGGTTGGGATTATTTGACTCTGGCTTGGCATTCACGTCATTGCCAAAGCGTAGATCCAAATCTGACGGATTATTTCTGCTCTTTCGGGGATGAAAATAGAGAATTTGAAAGATGAAAAAACTTTCTTTCGATATTTTATGTTTTCTGAAGCAGATAAAAAACCTTGATAATAATAGATTACGCACTTCTTTCTTTTGTCTAATCGTAAATTAAGATCAATTTGTAGTGTCTTTACATAAGAGCTACTGAACATCAATGCTAACTCAAGTGCTACTCAAGTGTTGATCACTGCCCGAGTGAACCGATCACTGCGCGAGTAACTCCTTCACTGTTTTTCTGTTAACAATATATATACTGTCTTTCTTTCAGCGAAATTAAGACCGCTCGACATTCACAAATAAATAAACTTTTTACACTCACAAGCCTCTTTTGTAGTCTCTTTGCAAAAGCACTACAAATTGGTGACTGAGTTCTTTACGAAACCCACCCGAAAAACACGTACTACCGAGAGATTAAACCTAGAGAATTGCCGTCTTCACACCAATCAACATCCTGCTCCACGATGAAAATCATTGATAAGGAAAAGGCTTAAAAACTCATTGAAGAAAAATGGGTTCCCCTCGCTCTAGATGCTGAAATGATCGACGCTAACCTGAAAACCGAGCTCAGCGAGCTTGTCAAAAAAGATTCAACTCTTGTTAAACGAACAGACAGGAATCCGTTACGTCGACTCGGTACTGAAAAAGCGATCTTCATTTTCAAGAATCCTACAGTAGACTTTCTTTCAATGAATAAAACCCAGCAAAATGCTTACTCAGAAGAAGCCAAAAACTTTCTCGAGTCTGAGGGCGATGGAATGATCTTCTCCGTTGAAAGAGAAAGACCAGCTACTGTCAGAATAATCAAGAAGGAAGAAAATCTTGAAAATCAAGAGACACCAGAAGACTCCAAAAATCAAACAATTTCTGAAGTCTCGAAGCTTGTTGATGAGGGAAAAATTTCCATGACCGAGCTGGAAGTTCTATTGACAGCTTTTCGGGAACAAAACGCTCAGGATAACCACGCTCAGTCAACTGCAGTGAAAGAAGAAGCAGTACCACAAACGTCTCAAACTGTCGATAATCTTACTGCTGAAATCACAAACATCCAGGAACTTGTCGACACAGGAAAAATAAGTCCAGAAGAAATAAGACTTCTTCTCGGTGCTTTCCGCGAACCAGAAGCTACAAAAACCAGATCAGCATCCGAACCAAGAAAAATTCTTCCAAAGAATACCCAAAAGTCTCCTACAAGAAGAACCCCAAACGTCAAAGTGAAAAGCCCGAAATTCGATGCAAGCCTTCCTGTTTCTGCATGGATTCGAAATATGGAAATCTACGGAAAAATATCGTCCCTAGATGATGAATCCCTGATCACAGTTGCTCTAAGCAGCCTACTTTCAGAAGAAGAGGGAAGTCACATAATCGAATCACTCACAAACGACGAGCTCTGCAAATGGACGCTTTTCAAAAACAAACTTCTTGATACTCTTGGAAAAAGACGTGACCATGACAAGCATGAATTTGAAAACTACATGCGTGGATCAGATTCGTTCGGAGTCTGTATGGCAAAATTGTCCTCTTACTACAAACAAGGTTACGATATAACAGAGCAGCGCCGCACAGATCAAGAGCTTCTCATTGAACGATTCTGCAAGGCACAAGATGACAAGCTTCAAGAGCTCCTGCTGCGAGAAAAAGGATCTCTGAATATGCAAAGTATTGTACGCCGAGCAAACGAGCTTGAACGATCGCAGAAAACAAAAACAAAGGAAGTCAACTTTGCAATCCCTCAAGTTGCAGCACATGAGAATCTTGAGAAGAAAATCGAGAATTTGACTGAAATCGTGCAGAAAATGGTAAAAGCTGATGCTGAGCGCAAGAAAAACAGCAAGCTCCGAAAAAGCGACAACCAATTGACCAAGAAAAGACACAAGGTTACTGCATGAAATTTATCCGCGACGGAAAATGCTCGTATGGAGCAACATGCAAATATATCCATGATTCTGACAACACGCCATTTGATGTTAAGGAATACGCTAAGACATTGTGACTAGGAATTGAACTAACATGCCCTAACTACCTATCTTGTCCAAAGTCACTTAAATTTGTCAATGTCACGATCAGCAACTACACCGTCCCTGCCCTTGTGGATTCTGCCTGTTCCCGGACATGTATCGACTCTTCTTTACCGTTCATAGGAAAAACAACAAAATCAAAACTTCAAGTCTATTGCGCAAACAACCAGATCATAACTCCAGATGTTCTCTCTACGCCGCTTTTTATGGAAATTAAAACAATGGATGGTCCTCTACACCTGAAAACACAACCGCTTATCATCAAACACTTATGTGTCCCAATCATACTTGGACTGGACCACCTTCATGATCTACAAATCAGCGCAGACAACGACTTCATACTCATTAATCAAAAACGAATCAAAATTGTACATCCTGATCTCAACAAAAATTCAAACATCAAAGTCAACGCCCTAAACGCAATTGTAGAAATCGACCTTGATGATAAAAACGAAAAAAAATCTTTAGAAAAATTCCAAAAACTTCGTAGTCAAAAAGCAGCCAAAATCAATTTCCAGCCAGAAATTGGTTCATATGGACAGACAACCGAAGACCAAAAACAAAAACTTTTCGCCCTTAATTGTAAATATCGCCTTTCATATTCAATGGATGACTCTGACCTTGGCAAAATCCATGGATATCGATTCTCTATGCCATTTCATAATGAGGAAGCAACAACTCATCAACCGCCGCGCCCTATTGCTATTCATCTACAACCCGTAGTTGACTCTCAATTCGAAGTTTGGGAATCACTCGATGTTATTGGAGAAACGCAATCACCGAATAACGTGCCTTTGCTGGTTCTCAAGAAAGCTGACGGAAGTCACCGAGTCTCAGCTGATGCCCGAAACCTGAACGCCTTACTAGTCAAGGACAGGTTCCCACTACCATCTATGCAACAAATTTTCTACGAAATCGGTAAACGTCTTTCCAACAAAAACTCCTGTTTCATCTCAAACTTCGACTTACACCGAGGTTACTGGCAACTTCAAACACTCGAAAAAGATCGTCCAAAAATGGCGTTCTCCCATAGCAACAAACACTATGCAGCGCATAGAATGCTTTATGGAGTAGCCACTGGACCTGCAGCATTTTCCAGATGCATGGCCAAAATCCTTAATCATGAGTCTATTATATGCTATCTTGATGACATTATTGCGATTGATGGAGATTTCGAAAGCCATTTTGCGACAATCGAATTCATCTTAAAGACATGCCAAGATCATGGAATGCTTCTCTCGCCAAAGAAAGTCTTCTTGTGCAAACCAGAACTCAATTTTCTTGGACACTCAATCTCTAAAAATGGAATCCAGACAAGCGAAAAACATTTGAAAGTCATACGAGATCTGGAACCGCCCAAAACCGTGACGAAGTAAAGCGAATGTTAGGCTCAATAAATTACAACCTAAAATTCGTACGAAACGGCTCTTCTATTCTCCAGCCGCTGTATGAACTCACTTCTAAAAATCGCGATTTCATCTGGGAAGAAAAACACCAAACTGCATTCACCGACATCAAAAAGAAACTTCTTGAACGACCCTGCTTAGCCCATTATAAAGAAGGATCCGAACTTATCCTTGTTACCGACAGCTCAGGATCGAAAATTGGCGGCTGCCTATACCAAAAAGAAGATGATCAGCTTCACCCGCTTGGATACTTTTCGAAAGCTCTTTCAGGACCTGATCTCCGACGAAGTATGCGAGAAAAAGAACTTTTCGCACTTGGTTTATCAATCAGTTTCTTCGAATTCTACCTATTGAACACGACTTTCACAGCTGTGGTAGACCATAAGAGTCTCCTCTTTCTATTCAAGGAGCAAGGAGAATTGAAGAAGAATGATATAAAAAAGATGAATATCTTAAACTATCTCCTTCGATTCGATTTTCGAATTCTACATCGGGAAGGAAACTCACCAATAATAGCAACTGCAGATTGGCTAAGTCGTCTTCCTGAATACAAAAGCACTGAACTCGAAAAAGATGCTGAAAACTTTGATGGAATCCCGGACACTGTCCTGCTGCTACATACAGTTGTTCCAGAAAGCAAAAAGAAGATTATTTTTTCGTTCAGCGACAGATCCTTCGACGAGGATAAAATGAATACTCTTCAAATGGAATGCAGATCTACGCGTAACATTATCGAAAAAGTGAAACGGAATCCAACACCTCCTTTTAAAATCAAAAAGAATGTTCTCTTCAAAGATGATCGGCTTGTGCTACCAAATAATCTCAGTGAAGAATTCTTACAGTACTTACACTGTATCACAGGACACTGTGGATCAAAACAACTAAACATCCTCTGCAGAAAATTCTACATCCACCAAATCCAGCACAAACTCGCCAACTCACTCGATTTTGCCCAACATGTATCCAGATAAAACCAATGCCGAAGTTGAAACCTTCAATGATCGAAAATCGACGTTTCGCAGAAACACCGTTTTCAAAAACTCACTTCGATCTTGTTGACTACTACAGGCCTGACGCTGCTGGAAAAAGATACCTACTTACTGCAATGGACTCACT